TGTACCAACTAACATTTTGGTAAACTAGATGCCAAGTTCATAATGAGTTGCTGAAAAGAGTTAACTTAAAGATAAAGTACAATTTTCTTTAAGTAATTAAAAAAATGATAGCAAATAAATAGATCTAGGTGTTGATACACTAAGTTGGAGAAATATTAAACTAGTATGTAAACCTATAATGTAAATAACAATTATAAATCTGTTACATGCATGTGATTAAAATCTGATTAAATGTTTTGTATCTATACTACAGGTGTGCTATATCCCACAGGAAGCTCTGGTAAGTTCATTTAACCATTTACCGCATGAGCATATTGCGAAAAAAGGCTGTTTTCATTGAAAAGCCTTCTGTTACAAGTTCAAACTGCTATGAAACTATAAAAAAATTGCTTCAAAACTGATCAAACTTGGCTCAAATGTTGACAGTGGACCATAGCCTTTGTAACAGCTCAATGTTAAATTTTCTGTTACAATAGCAAGGGGGAACATCTCAAAATTGCCAAAAATCACTATTTTGCGTTGTTTTTCCATCAGAACTGATTTCAGAGTGCTGCAACTTTTCAATGGATTGAGATGCTCACTGAGTCAAAGGCTTTTCAGCGTTGGTTACACTTTACCTTAAATTTTCTTGCCGATGAGGAGGGGGGGGGGGGGGGGGGGGGGGGGGCTAGTGTCCCAAAAGAGGGGCACATCCCCCCTCTGGCACCCCCTTGATGTACTATTTTTGATAGGGGGTGGTGCAAAAAATGTGATCACTTTTTTAAACAACATTTCTCAAACAAAAAAACTGTGTTTGGGGCCTAAGTAGGGCATTTTTTCCCTATTTGAAGCCTCAAAAAGCGGAGGGTAGAAAAGCCGTCAAAATACAATATTATTTCCTTTAAATAAATATCAAATCAATACAATTTGTCAACTCATATGGATGTTTCAAATCTTTATTATTAAAAATCATATATTGATACTAAAAAGTTTTACCTTGCCTTGATCATGTTGATTATATAAATTATGAGAAGCTAATGCCTCTCTGGTGATTGTCATAATTTTGTTAAAGTTGTCTCCCCTTAATTGGAAAAAAGAATAAGAAAAGGATACCAGTGATAAAATTAATATTTATGCATCTGGTGAAGACATTTCTTAGTTTGTTACAAATAAGATGGTTTTGAACAGGATTTAATGAAACAAGATATTTTGATAAATGTTTGAGGTTTATTGAACAGTTTGTTTCCCATTACAAAGTATTTTAAACAATTTGGTTGTGAAGTTGAAATAATACAATGCATTTATATTAGCTTGATTGATAGCATTTAGCATTGAACCACAGAAGGGATTCTGTCCTATTACTAACCTGTACCAGTACTGGTGTCATTATATAGGGGAACATGGTTGTGTTTTCTTTTATGGCTTGAACCAACAGTCCTTGGGTAGAAATGCAAACACCTTAACCACTGTGCCAGACCCTAAGGCTTTTCATTAGCGCTTTCAATGCTTGTGCTTTATAAAATACCAGGTATTTTCCAGTTATATTTCTAAGGAATCTTCTAAAGAAGAAGGATGCTGACTTTTTTACTTTATGTATAAAACCAACACTTTAATAGAAGAGAATGAGTAAAGATTAGGTAAAATCTTGTCCAACATTATTAAATTAGAAAAAAAAGAATCAATGAATATTAAATCTCAAAATAATCAGATATTATATCCCAAAGACAGGCAATGTAACCAGTGTTGTAGGCAATTATTTGTCAGTGTAAGTGGTCTTGTAGGGAATTATGTAGCCCTTTCAGTGGTCTTGTAGACAATTAAGTAGCACTGTCAGTGGTTTTGTAAGCAATTATGTATCACTGTAAGTGGTCTTGTAGGCAATTATATAGCACTGTCAGTGGTCTTGTAGAAAATTAAGTAGCACTGTCAGTGGTTTTGTAAGCAATTATGTATCACTGTAAGTGGTCTTGTAGGCAATTATATAGCACTGTCAGTGGTCTTGTAGACAATTAAGTAGCACTGTCAGTGGTTTTGTAAGCAATTATGTATCACTGTCAGTGGTCTTGTAGGCAATTATATAGCACTGTCAGTGGTCTTGTAGAAAATTAAGTAGCACTGTCAGTGGTTTTGTAAGCAATTATGTATCACTGTAAGTGGTCTTGTAGGCAATTATGTAGCACTGTTAGTGGTCTTGTAGGGAATTATGTAGCACTGTAAGTGGTAGTGTAGGTAATTATGTAGCACTGTTAGTGGTCTTGTAGGCAATTATGTAGCACTGTTAGTGGTCTTGTAGGTAATTAGGTAGCACTGTTAGTGGTCTTGTAGGCAAATTAGGTAGCACTGTAAGTGTTCTTGTAGGTAATTATGTAGCACTTTGAGTGGTCTTGTAGGCAATTATGAAGCACTTTTAGTGGTCTTGTAGGCAAATATGTTGCACTGTTAGTGGTCTTGTAGACAATTATGTAGCACTGTTAGTGGTCTTGTAGGCAATTATGTAGCACTGTTAGTGGTCTTGTAGGCAATTATGTAGCACTGTTAGTGGTCTTGTAGGCAAATAAGGTAGCACTGTTAGTGGTCTTGTAGGCAAATATTTTGCACTGTTAGTGGTCTTGTAGGCAATTATGTAGCACTTTTTGTGGTCTTGTAGGCAATTATGTAGCACTTTTAGTGGTCTTGTATGCAAATTAAGTAGCACTGTAAGTGGTCTTGTAGGCAAATTAGGTAGCACTGTTAGTGGTTTGGTAGATAATTATGAAGCACTTTTAGTGGTCTTGTAGGCAGTTATGTAGCACTGTTAGTGGTCTTGTAGACAATTATGTAGCACTGTTAGTGGTCTTGTAGACAATTATGTAGCACTGTTAGTGGTCTTGTAGGCAGTTATGTAGCACTGTTAGTGGTCTTGTAGACAATAATGAAGCACTGTTAGTGGTCTTGTAGGCAGTTATGTAGCACTGTTAGTGGTCTTGTAGGCAATTATGAAGCACTGTTAGTGGTCATGTAGGCAAATAAGGTAGCACTGTAAATGGTCTTGTATAGGTAAATTATGTAGCACTGTTAGTGGTCATGTACGGCAATTATGTAGCAATGTCAGTGGTCTTGTAGACAATTATGTAGCACTTTTAGTGGTCTTGTAGGCAATTATGTAGCACTGTTAGTGGTCTTTGTAAGCAAATTAGGTAGCACTGTTAGTGTCTTGTAGGTAATTATGTAGCACTGTCAGTGGTCTTGTAGACAATTATGAAGCACTGTTAGTGGTCTTGTAGGCAGTTATGTAGCACTGTTAGTGGTCTTGTAGGCAATTATGAAGCACTGTTAGTGGTCATGTAGGGCAAATAAGGTAGCACTGTAAATGGTCTTGTAGGTAAATTATGTAGCACTATTAGTGGTCATGTAGGCAATTATGTAGCACTGTCAGTGGTCTTGTAGACAATTATGTAGCACTTTTAGTGGTCTTGTAGGCAATTATGTAGCACTGTTAGTGGTCTTGTAAGCAAATTAGGTAGCACTGTTAGTGGTCTTGTAGGTAATTATGTAGCACTGTCAGTGGTCTTGTAGACAATTATGAAGCACTGTAAGTTGTCTTGTAGGCAGTTATGTAGTATTGTAAGTGGTCTTGTAAGCAATTATGTAGCACTGACGGTAGTCTTGTAGGCAATTATGTAGCACTAAGTGGTCTTGTAGGTAATTATGTAGCACTGTAAATGGTCTTGTAGACAATTATGTAGCACTGTTAGTGGTCTTGTAGGCAGTCATGTAGCACTGTTAGTGGTCTTGTAGGCAATTTTTGTAGCACTGTCAGTGGTTATGTAGACAATTAGGTAGCACTGTCAGTGGTCTTGTAGGCAGTTATGTAGCACTGTAAGTGGTCTTGTAGACAATTATGTAGCACTGTAAGTGGTCTTGTAGGCAGTCATGTAGCACTGTTAGTGGTCTTGTAGGCAATTATGTAGCACTGTTTGTGGTCTTGTACACAATTAGGTAGCACTGTCAGTGGTCTTGTAGGCAGTTATGTAGCACTGTAAGTGGTCTTGTAGACAATTATGTAGCACTGTTAATGGTCTTGTAGGCAGTCATGTAGCACTGTGGCAATTATGTAGCACTGTTAGTGGTTTTGTAGACAATTAGGTAGCACTGTCAGTGGTTTTGTGGACAATTAGGTAGCACTGTCAGTGGACTTGAAGGCAATTATGTAGCACTGTTAGTGGTCTTGTAGACAATTATGTAGCACTGTCAGTGGTCTTGTAGGTAATTATGTAGCACTGTCAGTGGTCTTGTAGGCAATTATGTAGCACTGTCAGTGGTTTTGTAGACAATTTGGTAGCACTGTCAAATAAATAAAAATGTAATAATAAAAATTTACATTATTATTGTAATTGAATACTTGAATTTTATATACATTTAGTCTGAAAGTGTACCAATAAAAGTTTTTAAGCCATTTTATTACATTTACAGGTAAATGGTAATTTTTTGCATTGCATAATAACAAAAGGAAAAAATATTCATTAGAAAGCATATTGAATAAAATTGGATTGCCATCAAATTTTTGATTAATATTATTATTATTGATTTCATAAAAAAGTGGGAAAAAATGACATGCTTATAAAGAAAGCCTCTTTAAAATATTTCAGGAAATGTGATTACCAACATATTGGTAATTAACATTTATAAACTGCTTTTGTTGAAAAATATAAATAAAGAATAAAAAAAAGAATATGATGTACAAAAGACAGCCTGTTTAAAATAAAAAATTTGGAAAATGTTGCAAAAAATAGAAATGAAAATTAATGCTGTCATATAGGTTAATTACTGTTTGACTGTTTTTTTTTAATGGGAAAATAAAAAAGAGAAAGTAAAAAAAGAAAATGATTTACATAAGATGGTCTCTTTAAAATGTTTTAAAAAATGTTGAAAAAAAACTGTATGACCATCCTAAAGAGTTTTTTTAATAGTAAAATAAGAGAAAAAGAAAGAAAATATACATAGCACAGCCTCTTTAAAATGTTTTGGAGAATATTGCCAAAGGTATTTCTGCTCATCTGAAATACACCCACAGTATTATATCTCAAGACAGTAGTTATTTCTGGCAGGGCTTATCAGTAAAGCTTCACACTCTACAGGTAATGTACCTATACTGTTGCCACGGAAACCCGATTGAGATTTTTATCATGGAGGCAAAATATGTTTCAGGCTAGGTAATATGAAGGCAAAATTCCAAGATAACTTTTAAAACATTTTAACATTTTATAGTGGTGTGTTGTGCTCTTTTTGCTTAACATTTTGCCTCCCTGTGTGTAATTCTATAATTTGTTGATTTCTTTTAATGTGAAAAATATCAAATTATAAAAAGAATTGTTTATAGTTTGATATTTTTAAAAAAAATATTCGTTTTTCCTGGATATTCTTTTCTACGCCATTGTCTAAGGTATGTTGTTATTTTTTTTGTTTTGTTTTGGTTATTATCTGTTTTTCTTAACCAGATTGTCTTAGAGTAAGTTTGAAATCTTTTTATCATAAAAAAAGTTAGAAATCTTTTATCTTAAAATGATTTTCAATAATTTGTTTGTAATTGCTTCGTTGTTAAGTTTCATTAAAAAAAAATAACTTTGTTCAAGGTCATAAGCAGTTTACTTTCTTTTTTTCATTTACTATTTTTTTAATCAGGACAAAGAAGTTTAATGTTTAAATAATAAAAGTTATATAAAAGTTATCTTCGGTGAATTTATGTATTTTATTGATTTATTTTTTGAGAGGGGCGGGGGGGGGGGGGGGGGGGGGAGGTGATAGTTTTAATACACTTTCAAGTGATGAATGAAAAATGGACTTATTCTTTTAAATCCATGTAATCTGCTGGAACCAAAAATGACATTTACTAAGTCTCTGCCACCAGTATAGAGCCTGGCCTTAGCCTGGACATCCATGGTGTCTGACCAGGTTCAATACTGTTCCTAGCTCAATTTTTTTGTGTGTTTTCATATTAAAATCCTTTAAACTTGAACTGGTCTGTTCAAAACTCAAAGCTCCAGGGTAAATTTTTCGTACTAAATTCAGCAAGTTTATATTTAAGCAGAGTTAAATCTTAGTAACCACTCTCATTCATGTGTTACAGGATTAGTATAACATTGGTTTTTGTTAAGCACAGTGTTTTTAAGAAATTAATTTGAAAATTTTAAATTTAATGTCAATTAACATTTCTTTGATAAATCATAAAAATCCTTCCTTAAAAAATATTAATTAATGTATACAAAAAAAAGCAAATGGTTAACATGTATGATGTTCGATTAGTAATCTAAGGATTGCTGGTCGCGCGGGTTCAAATCCCATCAGAGACAAGCCATTGTTTCCTCGAGCTAGAAACTTTACACTTATTGCTTAGTACTTGTTGGTTCCAGGATCAAAATCGAGAAGTTCTATAAGCTTATAGGTTCTAACACAATCAAACTACAATAAATTTGTATAAACTAAACTAAATGGGAGCAGAGGCATAGTGGTCTTCAGGTGTCTGCCACTCAACCCAGGGATCATGGGTTTGAGTCTCACTGGTGTCAAAAACATATTTCCTCATGTGACACCAGTACTGGTTTAAGTTACAGGAAATGGACTGGTGAGTGGTTCATATAAGTTGCAAGTTTTCTTCACTGTTAAGGTTAAAAAAAAATAATGTTGAAATTATATTCATGTGGTTATTTTGAGTTAAAAATATCATGATTATTGCCATTCTTATAACTGTACAGAAGATAACATCATCTACTGTTCGTATACAGATCGAGCAGACCGATGTGCTCTAGTCATGAATAGAATTGTGATGTCGTATGACATCATGATTATCTTTTTATGTGACATCATATTCTTTAAGTGGCACAATATTTTACAATTATTGACTAGTGAGCCATTGAATATGATGTGATATTCACCAGCAGATGGCATATTGACCTAGGGGATTTATTTATGTGAATTGCCAAAGATTTAAAAGAAGTAAAGCCTTATACCTGTAGTGTAGCTCTACTGTAGAAAAATATTTTCAAAATAACTTAAGATATACCGCAGGTGGTAATAATTTAAATTCAAGGTGAACTACAGTCTTACAATATACATGTCTTATCTTATATGAATGAACCCAGTGAATAAATCTGTATTATTAGCAGCCAAATTGTACTCGTTCCTTGACAAACTCTTATAGACAAGAGGAACTTGTTTGCATTTGAAGTAAACTAATTTCTGTCCCCCCTACGAACTCATGATGGCTGACATTTATTTCGGATATGTGTTTATTTTTGTAATATTATTGTTTCACAGAGTGCCACTGATGACATAAGCACGCAGGTATGTGAGATCGCAGCCATTGGAGATAACAGTCAACGTTCTGAACAAGATTTACATCAAAACAAAGGTAATAAATGTGTAAGTTCTTACCTAGGTTTTGTTTTTATTAGGGTGGTGTTTTATTCGTAAATTGCATATTTAATTCATTAGATGCAGATGGCAGTGACTGGTCGCAGGATTTTATAAAGGTAATGTGGTGGGTTTTTTTTTATGTTGCTATGTTGCATTTTCTGGTATTGTTGCTAATGTTGTTGTTGTTGTTTATGAATCATGTTAACTGCCAAATTATGCAGGGACTGAATTCATGGAGAAAAGATGTAAGCTTTTAGCCAATTAATTAATTGATAAATTCACATAATTGATGAATGAATTTCCATGTACATGTATTTTGTTTGTAATCAACAATGAGAATTATCCCAAAGCACTTTTTTTGAGTAACAGGGACTTTAAGATACTTGTTACTGACAAGGTTTTTAATGGATTCAAGTATGGGCGTTTTCCTTTACTACAATTTTTTTTCCGACTTTGTAATTCTGAAATGAATATGAAGCTTATTGGACTTTACCTATTTTTCAATCTTTTGTTAGTATCTATCCATAGACATAGACTTGGCAGAAACTAACAACAACATTAGGACTAATGTAATAAACATGACTTTGGTGTCATTGAACTGACTGTGGTATATATACAATACCAGATTGTAAATCTGAATGGTAACTAACATGCATATATTGGTTATCGTACTATATATAATTACTATATAATGTACTATAATATGGTAAAACTTCTTAGTCAGGTTTGTCCCCACTTTCAATTTTTGATCCTTCGGTACAAACAAACTATTACTTTTAAGCTTCACGGTGCATTACTGGTCACAATAGATAAGTCAACCTATTGCGCTTATTTTTCAAAGTTGTAATTGTAGAGTTTGTTCATACCGTAAGATAATATCCTGGAAAAACACAAAAAGTTTTAGATCGAAGCTAGTCTATGAGCAATATGTGTTGTAATATAATGTAGTAGATGTATACAGGGTGTGGTGTAACTATTGTTCTTCTTGTTGCTGGTATGTTAATGGCATATATCACATATCTACATCAATCAGATATAGGTAAAATGCACTACTGCAAAATAATTATTATACGTGGGGCACTAATTTTTGTGGTTTTTCTGGATAGGTCAATCCATATATTTAAAATCCAACAAATTTCATTTCATCTACTGTAAATTATTTTACATTATTTACCTTTTGGAAAAATGAACAGTTCATGAATTTAAGTACCCACATATCTTCTTTGTAACAAAAACATGAAATTCCATGTCCACGAAATTAAGTGAATTCACAATAATCAATTTACCTTAATCAAACAGATTGATAAGTATATTGTTAATTGCAAAGAAAATAATCTCGTCCAAACATTCCTGATTCTTATTTCCTACATGTGAATTGACTTAACATTTATGAACATAAAATTTCTTGGTATTGTCAATTTTTCATGGTATCTTAAATTTGTGGATAGTCTGTAATTTAAAAAAAGTAGAATACAAATTATGTAATATTAATAATAAAAATAACCCAAACTTCTGTTGTTTGGATATGTTCTTAAATTTGTTGATTATGTCCTGTCCATGAAAACCATGAATATTAGTGCGCCACAAATAATGATTTTGCAGTAGGCTCCTATCTATTGAAAAATTTTGAAAAAAATACAGGGTTTTAGCTTCTCAACCCAAGGAATGGGTTATGAATGAATTTCCCATTTCAATGAAGATTGAAAATATTCTAAGATTCAACCTATGTGACGAGTGCAAACCAAGATCAGCTGGCACTTCCATTAAGTGAAGTAGATAAAATATGTCTTATTTGAAGTTTATTTAAGTTTCAGAAAATCAAGTAAAATATAAAAAATAATCAAAATTATAAATTATCTTTTAAAGTGTTTGTCCAATTACGGTAATTTTTCTATGGGTAGAACAAAATGTGTTTGTGCAACGTAAAACCCAAATAAAAAAAACAACGCACACACACAAAAACCAAGAATAAAATGTAATAACATTACTTCTGACTTTCTGAAGGTGAAATTTATCTAAATACGCAATAAATATATGATCAAAACATTCGTAGGTATCTGTTAAAGCAGATAGGAATGCCTGCAATATTGTAAGACATACATCAGCTGGTGGTATGGTAAAGGAATACAAATCAGTATTCAGACATAAATCAGATGGTATGGTATAGACATAAATTAATCGGCGGTAGACATAAATCGGAATGTTCTTGGAAGAAACTACTGCTTTCTGCCAGTTGCCGATCTTGAAATCTTATCAGTATTGAACTGCTAGAAATATATCAGAAAATCTTTGGCTAGGGGGGTGGAAAAATAGTGCTGTATTTACTGTGTTAAATAAAACAGCGAGCCTTTTCTGTTCCAATAATACATACTTCTCTTTATTTTTATCTTTGTAACAAATCAAATAATAAACAAGAGCTGTCTGTAGGACAGCACGCTCGACTATTCTAAGTGCTTGATAGTAAAAGAGCCTTGATAATTTTAAATTTTTTAAGTTCACAAATTTAATTTAATTTAAAGGGCTAATTTTTTTTTATAAATTCATGTTATAGGTCTTAGAGAGAGTCTAATTATACAGAATTGGCTTGACTATTTGGAAGGTAATGTCACGAGGGTTTTTTATTGAGTATAATAATACTAATTACCTATGAATACATAAATTTGACAGAAAAGGTACAAAAGCTTGTTATTAAGATGTTTTATCAAGTAAATCACTGCTTTATTATTATGAATCCCCAAAAAGGCACAAACCCTTCAGTAGTTATTGAGATAACAGCTTACAAGCAAAACTTTACCATGAATTTCTAAGTTGAAAAAGGGGAGAAAAATCAACCTAAATGCAAGATATAATTATGGATCTTTGTCAGTGACCTACAATTATGATCCTAAATGCATATGTGAAGTTTTAAATAAATATCTTTAATAGTTATTGAGATATGTAAAACTTGCATGTAAACATTAACCAAGAGACTAAGTAGAAAAGGGGATATGAATCAGCTTTAATGCAAGATAGAGTTATGGAACTTGGTCAATGACATACAATTGTGCCCCTCCAATTATGACCCTAGGTGCATGTGTAAAATTTCAAGTAAATATCTTTGAAGATTTTTAACCTTTAACCAAAATTTCTAAGTTTCAAAGGGGCAAATAATTCTGCAAATATTGCAGACAGAGTTATGCAATTTTGCAAACTGATGTACATTGTTATTATAAATAAGAATTTTAAATTTCAATTGAATATCTCAAGCAATAATTGAGATATTTGACTTTACAAAAAACTTTAACCAAAATTTCTAAGTTAAAAAGGGGCATAATTCTGTCAATATTGTAGGCAGAGTTATCCAACTTGTCAATCTGATGTACCTTGTTACTATAAATAAATATTGTAAGTTTCAATTGAATATCTCGAGCAATAATTGAGATATTTGACTTTACAAAAAACTTTAACCAAAATTTCTAAGTTAAAAAGGGGCATAATTCTGTCAATATTGTAGGCACAGTTATCCAACTTGTCAAGCTGATGTACCTTGTTACTATAAATAACTATTGTAAGTTTCAATTGAATATCTCAAGTAATAATTGAGATATTTGACTTTACAAAAAACTTTAACAAACGCAGACGCTGACGCCAACGCCGGGGCGACTACAATAGCTCTCATATTCTTCGAATAGTCGAGCTAAAAAATGAGATACCTTGAACTTGTTATTGAGATTAGTTAAAGAATTTCCTTGTGTCCACTTAAGAAAGAAAAAAAGTTAAACTGTTATAGATCGTGTTCTAAGACCTAACTTTCACTGTTTGTCACATTGTTTTGGCCGATTTTTTACTGGGGTTGAATTTATACTGATATAAAAAAGCCATTTATTTGTCTCTCACTGCTGATTGAAAGAAATCATGTGCGATAAGTAGTTGGTCACTTGTGGAGAAATGGATAATAACTGGTTAGTTATCAAGTGAAGTCCTTTAGGTGGACCGATAGTCAAGATATGACCCAAATAATGTGTTAAATTCATCATAAAAAAACGACAAATACTTAATATTAGGAATCACTGATAGTTCTAAGACATAATGTTTACATTTACCCTGATGAATGAACTGCGGGCTTGCTGTATAGGGCACCATATGTGAGGGTTAGCGAAGCCTGTTTTACATACATGATTGTCATTTTAATGGGGTTATTTTACGTAAAAGGAATAGAGTTAAGTACCCTATTATTGTTAGCCCCAAGCCAAATGGGTTCAAGTCTAGTCAAGGGCAAGTCATTTCTTTCCTCAAGCAAGAAGCTTTATACTTATAATAAGTTATTGCTCAGTACTGGTTGGTTCCAGCTATGGATTCGAAAGTGTATCTATAAGTTTATAGGTAATCCTATACATTTAAAAAACATAGGAAGGCACATGGTGATCATTTTATATGTAACAATAAAGTTATGATAAACAAATTTGATGGTAAAATATTCATCAATTATAATCAGTCATAGTCAGATTTTAATGCTTTTTATTATTTAGTGTAAGAATAATTTTCTATTACTGTTCAATAAGAAATGCAAAATTTAATTTTTATGCAAGAAATATTTCATATTCACTCAAGGCAAACGAAAAAACATTATTTATATTGAGAAAATGAAAGGTATAACAATAGGGAACGATTTCATAATATAATATCATGGAAAATTGCAAAAACATCTGTTAATACTTACACTTTAAAGCAGCACACCCCCAGATGAGTAAAACAAATCTTAAAGAAATAAGATTCATGATATGTGATAATAGTCTGGGGCCTGACCATGGTTGAGTGGTTAAGGTTGCACACTTCAAATCACTATCCCCTTTACCTCTGTTGGTTTTGATTCCCAGCAGAGACTTTTGATTCTTTCATGTGAGGAAGCTTAGTCCAGCTGGGACTGTTGTTCCATATTTCAGTTGAATAGGTTACTGACTCAATCCTCCCCCAGTAAAGCTGGAAAGTAATCATATGACCTTAACTGTGTTTGGGGCAACATAAAAAAAACCCAACCATAACAGTGTTGCAGTGACTTAAAATCCAACAAACAAACATATTATGATTATTTTTATTGTTATGATTATTATTTTTGTTATTTTCATCAGAGATTATAAAAATTAGACAAAACATACCTAGTAGAAAGTCTGAACAAACATCTTATGAGAATAATTGTGGTAATACATTATATTGAAGAAGTGGTATTCATAAAATACCTTCCTGAGATTGATTTTTGGCACCATTACTGAATTTTCTAAACATTATGTAGACTTAGTCATTCAAAACCACAAATCTGATTTCATATGATAAGAAGATAGATACGGTTTCTGGTTCCAAGATTGTTTTATCATTACAAATATATTATTATCGGGAGAAGAAGATTTTTGTTTTGATTATGTTAAATATTATTTGGCAAAAACAAATTTTGATTTCATTGTTTTGGTACACTTGAATTAAAAAAAAAATATATATATACATGTATTCTGAAAACATACAAAAAAATGCAAACTGAACTGTTTTGACTTGTTTCTAATAAAAAGTAACAGGTAATTTAATTATGCATATGAGTAAATCTTAGAAGAAATGGACACATTACAGGAGGTTACCAAACATTTCATGACTGGTGTTGATTATATAAAATTTATTGAAGGAACTTATAATAATGATAATATGCATTGGAATCTCCAAAAGCAAAAACAAATTCCTTGTAGAAGCGAAAAATGAGAGCAAAATGTTAAAATGCGGCCTTTAGCTTTTGTAAAGTTTGAATATGTTATTTTTAGGCAAATAATTACATATACAGTAGAACTTCTATGAGTCAAACTTTGATTAATCAATTTCACGATGTGTCGAAGTAAAATGAAAGTCCCGATTCCCCCTCATACATTCCTTATAACAACCTCACAGAATATGAGTGGAAATTTCATGTGTCAAAGTTTTTTCGTGGTCCATATAGAAAAAACTGAGTACAATTTACCACAAGTAAGTCGAAGTTCTTCCATTATTTTGACTCATTCAATAATGAGACATTTTTCACACCTTTTTTAACCGCGAAGATGACATCCGATCAACTTGTGTGACAGGTGTTAATTACACAGCCGTTTGTTCAAACAGCCTATGTACGCATAAAAATGTGTGATAAAATGCTTTAATTGTCACATTCAAATTACCATAGTGGTATTTGAAAGTAAACAGTAAGAACTACTTTCATTTGAGAACTTCCATGACCCGATGTTGCTCGATAATCACTTGGGATATATTACTATAAGGTGGTTTAGTTATCGCCCTTCCCTGTTGGTATGCCTTTTTGTCACTTGCTTTTTAATGTCAACGGCTCGAAATTTTGTCATGAAATTGAGACTGATTCATGAGTCAAAGTCCCGATGTGTTTAAGATTTAAGGCAAGTCCCTTCAACTTCAACTCAACAAAGTTCTACTTCTCCAAGGTAAAATTACTGAAATACTTAGCTTGAAACAACACGGGATTGTCTTCCCAACAAAAAGTAAAAGCTGAAGGCCGCTTTAAGAAATGAACACATTTCGGGAAGTCGTCAAACATTTTGTGAAAGGTGTTGATTATATAAAAACAGAATGTATTATGATCACATGACGTTAGGTTAGGATGATTATTTAATATCATTAAATGCTATAATCTTACTTTGAAATATTTTTTCTTTTCAGAAGAGGCAAAGATGCCGGAGAGACGTAAAATGAAGTCGCCCAGTCCGAAGATGACTAGTACGCCAAAGATGAAACGTAAAGAAGTCGACACAGAATCTACAGAAGAACTTCAAAAGAGACTGGGCTACGGTGATAACCCAACACAAAAGAAAGGTATGATTCAAAGAAATATATTAGTTATTTAAGGTCAGTCTTATATCCATGGCCAGGGCCCTCACAAATTTTGGTGTTCAAAGAATTATATTGGATATTTAAGGTCAGTCTTGTATCCATGGCCAGGGCCATCACAAATTTTGGTGCCAAATCTTTAGTGTCATTAAAATAACTTTAAGAAACTGTGTCACCTTAGTGCAATAACTGATTAACTATTATTGATTTAGAAGGATTTAACCTGTTACTGCACGAAGGTGACAAAAGGACCAACTTTACTAGACCAGTTGTGGGGAATGCAGCTTCCAATATATAGTTTGTATATTCTTTTATTCAAGTAAGACATATTCAGTAAGAATTTCATAGATGTTAATAAATTTCTGTGATAAAAACATTTTACTCAAATATGAACTATTATTATGTCTTTGTGATTTTTTTTTCAGAATTTTCGACAAAAGATTCGGTTGAGTTCACAGAATACAATGATGGCACAACAAGACCGATGTTCAAAAAGAGGCTGAAGAGTGTGACGGGGAAAAGTAAGTATGATGTGACAATTTATGTGACAATTAATGTAACATGGATGTGACCAGGATATTAACCTAATATCCTCAAATTGAAAACTAAAATCTATTCAGTCATATCTTTTTTTCCTACCTATTTATTTATATTTATTCAGTACATATTTTTTCACCTCTGCATATACTTTTTCACTTTGGTATATATTTCTTTGCCGCAGTATATACTTTTTTTGCCTCAGTATTATACTTTTTTGCCTCCATATCAACCTATCCAAATAATGCAACTTAAGTTTCAAAGTGTAAATATCTTACCTAAGTTTAATATATGATTGCTCATAGAAGGAGTAGATTATGCAATACTCTAGGCGCAAATACACATATGCAGAAAAACATTTTCATGTTGAGTTTTCATGCATATTGCTATGTAATTCATGATTACACAAACATGCAAGTTTGTCATTATCTGGGTTATATAGTTATAGACTTTACCAATACATAAATGCATGAAGAGCATCTGTCAAAATACAATATTGTATGATATAATACTTCCATGCATCGGATGATGTAATTACACTTTGACAAGCATACAACAGTGTTGTACATCTGCAATTTATGCATTTACGGCAAAAAAAATCAAAAAAATCACACATTTAACAATGGAAGATAAGAATAAGTCGTAGGTAAATAATGGGAGCATACATTAGAGTAATTGATGTGTATTTGTTGCTATTGTCGGGCTGCCAAACTATTATATCTTAATTCATACAGCAGGCAATAAGCGTTTCCTCCCACCCTCTAATAAGTGCCCCCTCCCCCCCAAACCCATTATAGAATAATAATCCATTATGCAACAGCAATCCAAAAAATTTTATTTAAAAAAAAAAAAATAAATAAATAAAAATAAATAACGAAGCTCCAGTAATGTTAAGTCATAAAAAATGCAAAGCTCCCCCAGGGGGCGTTAAATAGAAACAATGCAATAAATCTGTATAGTATGATAATGTAGGTTAATGCATTTATCAAGTTTGTTATGAATCCATCATTACAATGTTACTACTAAGGTTTTGTATGAAGGAAAACAAGATGTCCTACAATTGAGTCACCCCTATATGTTGTTTTTTTTCTCCTTCCTGAAATCGTTTTCTTTCAAACTGTCTGTTTATCTATTCAACTTTCTGTTTTATATATAACATTTTAAGGCCCATACTTCTTTCAATTCAACTTTCTAAAAATTGTGATAACTATATAGACTCAATGTTCTCTAAGAAAGTTTCATTAGCATTGATCTATGCAAAGTTATTGCCCCTCAAAATTTTTTTCCTTAATTATCATGGTGCAGACCTTATCAAATTTTGGGAAAGAAAATTTATAAACAGCTGTAGAACTGCTCTATTAAGTGTTCCAAGGGTCCTAGGTTAGTGTTCCTTTTTTATGCTGGGTATGTATAGTGTAATAATGCACTTGATTGCCTTATAGGTTTGATAGGAAAATAGTTTGAAGCGTGTTAGAATTAGAAATTAAAATAGGTTAAGCTACAACTGACAATGATTTATATTCAAACAGCCGGAGAGATGGCGCAGCTTGAATGTACAGTTTCGGGCTCCCCTCTACCTAAGATACTTTGGCTGAAAAACAACCGGCCCCTCAAAGCTAGCGATGGCTGTAAAGTGATTGTTGACGAGGGAACAAATATTCTGGTGTTTCCTCAGGCGAAAGAAGAGGATGTTGGGATATACACAGCGAGGGCTATGAATGTCAATGGATCGATTATGTGCTCGGCAGAGTTCTCGTTGTCGGACGGTAGGTGTATATGATATTTAGATCAACACTTTCTATCATACAAATCTTTAGAATTTATCCTAACCTGTATTCAACATGAGTTGGTGCTTTCAATATTTGAAATTAAAAAGTTGATATATCACTTAATACAGTCATGAAGGTAACATCAAAGTCGTCTGTTTGGATTTCTTTGCAAAGTGTAGTATCCTGTGTTAGATATGTCTTACAGTAAAGTTTACAAGTACAGTAAGTAAAGGAAGGGATGTGTCTTATATTGTTTTCAAAAATGCTTTATTTAAAGGCACATTATGCATCATAAATCCAAGCATGTTTTTAATAGTGTTTCATTAATTGATTTAGAGCATATTAGATGTCTGAAAACAAGAGAAAGTAGCACTGAGCGTGCACTTATTTGTCATAAGGGTAGCAAAATGTAAACAAAATAGTAATTTGACTTACATACAAAATACTTACTCGCTATAATTATACCAATTGCCAACAGAGCAAAAAAAAACAAACAAGCTTATAGTTCAACAATGTAGCAAAAGAGTAAATTTTTGGAAGTAACCAAAAATAAAAAAGTTTCTGCATTATAAAAATGATGGCATTTCTGAGGCATAGTGGGCCTTTAACAAATTTTTTTATATATATAGTAAAACAAACATCACCTTGTTTTTATAGGTCAGGGCGTACCCGCCCAGCAAGCTACCGACAGCCCTATGGATATGGACTTTACAACCCCAGCCTACTTCTTTCAGATGTCAAGCTGCGAGGTGGCTGAGGGAAGACTGGCTAGATTTGACTGCAGGGTTGTAGCTTATCCAAAACCGGAAATTGTTTGGTATGTTGAGTTGTCAAATATCTTAAGCCCAACTATTAAAACTATTGGGAGAGCTAATGTACTTACAATGGCATCATACTTTGGTTAACTTTTTGCATGCAAGTAGGTATCTCCAAATCTACTAAGGGTAATGGGTTGAATCTTCACACACTTATTTGAGAGCATAATACGGGGGCACTATTTTAACTTATTTTAACAGAATTATGGCCATTTTTGAATTTAGATAATTCTACATTATCCTGGCTCTTCTTTTACTTTCAGGCACTAAAATTAGTCGAGCATTCTTGTTAAAATTTTACATTTTTTATTAAATTTTAGCTCCTCTATTTGAAAAATAGGGAATGCTATGGTTCACACGTCCCCACTTTTTGTAAAGTTTATGCGTAAAAATTGTTCTCTTTGACTTTCTAACATTATGGGCACAGGTCCCATAACTCTGAGTTAACTTTTTACAGAGCATGCTGTGTTACAGACAGCTTTTGTTGATAAGTTAATACATATTATGTTGCAATTTATTTAGTTGCATAATTTATTTGTATTAACCAGATGAATTTTTTTAAGAATTACAGAATATTATTAAACAATCAGCATGAATGTTTTTTCACTATAATTATACAAATTTAATTCTTTTTTTTTAGAATAAAATGAACAGAGTTAAAAATGAAATTATTTGTTTTCCTCCTTTTTATGAAAGCAACCTTTTCATGACAGTGATAAAAAAGATATTAAAGAAACCAAAGTTAAGAATTTTATGGGCTAATTTGATGGGTTTAATGAAGTGTTATGTGAATGAAAATTGTATGATATTGTCGTAAAGGAAGTCTGAATTTTTCTTGTTACCATGGTTACAGGATGAGAGATGGAAAGGTCGTAGAAACCGAGCAACGCTACAAGCTGCTTAACTTTAACAACGAGATTTATTCCCTGCTTATACAAGATGTACGCATTGAGGATACTGGCCGCTACACATGTTGGGCCAGGAACAAATTTGGCGAGGCCATGACCGAGGCTTATTTAAATGTCATAGGTACATTGTTTTATTTAAGTACATTCGTACTTGTTTGTTAATTATTGTTTCAATTTTGTAATAGTGAACTAGAAAATAAGAGCGGGGACCCCAATTTTTTAGACGATCTGCTGAGATATGACCATAGCCTGGGATTCAGGCGTTGATATTTATTTGTGTATTCATAACATATTTTTTGCTTATTCATAACATACAAGCTATTTTGTATTTGTTTGTGTTTTTGATAATATCAATTTGGAGAACAGAAGCACATAAAAAATCGACAGACTCAAACCCAGGCTAATATGACCCCAAAAACTGAAAAAAGAGAAAAACAAATAAACGTTTGAGGGCACAAGTTAAATAACTTATAGTGACAGTCTTTTTTTTTTTCTAAGTACATAGGAATATCATTTAGAATTGTATTTTAGTTAATGTCAGTATTTAATGTCAGTATTAATTATTGGTATAAGGTGCTCATTAAAAATATTTCTTTCATGTTTCAAAGGAGTGTTGCTTAAATTTTTATTCATTAAATTTTACAGCTTTAACGGAGCAAGAGCCTGATACTGATATTGCACCGAAGTTTCTCACCCGATTTTATGACCAACAAACCACAGAGGGCACTGCAACAGACTTCAAGTGTCTGATTGCAGGACGTCCCGAGCCCAGTGTAACATGGCTGCTTGATGACCTGGAGATTCGAGAAAAAGGAGATGTGAAAATGAGGCGTAAGGACGGAGTTGTCAGTCTTGAAATAAAATCACCAAAAGTTGAACAGTCAGGAACGTACACTTGCCAGCTTAGGTATATATATAGAAATTTTATTGTCTCTTGCTTTGAATGCCCTGTTCTGGGAATTATTTTTGTTATCTTTATACCTTTGAAATTTTTAATGTAATACAAATGGCATTGCAATTGATGAATTTAATAATCACTTTTAAATGGTCATGATACCTGACATGATAATGGACTGTCATTTCAGACTTCATGTCCAGACCAAGAAGTTCTGTTTTGAAATATATATGATACTGTACTTAATGTGCTGTCAGTGATATGTCTGTTAACTAAACAAATTCATTGTATTTAATTCAGTAATCCACTTGGGGAGGCCACATGCAGTGCCAAATTGACAGTTGTAGAGGACAAATTGCGTGGAAAAATGTTGCCGAAATTCTTAAAGAAGTTTGATCATGTGACTGCAAAGGAGGGAGAAGAGGCGAAATTTACGAGCGTGATCATCGGCGAGCCACAACCTGATGTCACATGGCTGTTTGATCATAAACCAATCTCTGTAAGTATAACACAAGATTCCCAAAACCAGTCAAGTTAAAATAAAAAAATCAGAAAACCAGTCAAATTATAATAAAGAATTCTAAGAACCAGTCCAGCAATATAATAAAAGATTCTTAAACCAGTCCAGTCAAGTTATAATGAAAGATCTACTAAACTGATCAAATCATAATAAAAGGTTCAGAAAACCATTCAGGCCATATCATAAAAAAGTAAAGTTAAAGAAAACCAGTCAAGTTATAATAAAGATTCACAAAACCAATCAATTCATAATAAAACATTTGTAGAATGTGTTTATAATGGGAACATACAAGTAACATAACTTCCCAATGCTAATACTATAATATATAAAACCCATGAAGTTGTCTCCCTTTTTATAACACTAAGTTTTTCCATACATTTCAGGACACAAACAGAAGATTTCAGATGAAGAAGGAAGGCGACGCATACACACTGATCATTAAGAATCTCAGATTTGACGATGCCGGTAAAATCACGTGCAAAGCTTCGAACGAGGAAGGAGAGGTGTATTGTAGTGCTAACTTGCACGTGCGCGAGAGCAAGTTCATGAGGGATGTGCCAGAAAAAACAGGGTACGCATCTAAATAGATATTACTTTAATTCACAGGGGGAGAAAATCATGATTCAGGTTTTAGTTTTACTAGGCTAAGAACAAATTTGATTTATACTACATATTTGCACATATGATATTACTCTCATGCATTTGGAAAATTTTCGTCAGAGGATTTTGTCGCTAGGTAGTCAATGGTGTGGCACCCCTGACTGTTTTAAATAGCATGAGTATGAATTGACCATAATGAGATATCATATCAGCAACCCATTCGTTAAAGGCACATTATGCCTCTGAAATCCATATTCTAGTAATTCTTTAGAAATGCCAAACATATGTTTGATACCGTCTTAATAACAGATTAAGAGCATGTTAAATATCTAACAACTAAAAAAGGTAGTGCTGAACATGCATATGAACATAATATGTTGTACAGGTAACAAAATGTAAACAAAGCTGTATTTTGATTTTCGTACAGAATAATTATTGACTAAATATACCATTTGCATACAGAGAAGAAGATAGTGTATGGATATGGCAAATGAGTATTTATTTGGAAACTGTGACAAGATACCATATTTATAAAGTTTTTGAGAAATAAAAAGTATAGTATTTCTAAGGCATAATGGGCCTTTAAAGGCTGATAATCTTACTTTAATAAGAATTGACAAAACTATTTTTTTGAGCATATGGTGTATTTCTATGAAAGTAATGAAAGTGTTATTTCTAACAGTGTCAAGGGCCAGGATGACACAGATTCTAAGTTTGGCTATATACCTACATTTACCAAGCGTCTACAAGACCTGGAGGTGAAGGAAGGAGCAAAAGCTACTTTTGAATGCAAAGTGATGGGAATACCAGATCCAGAGATAGCTTGGTAAGTAAAGTTAATTGATCCAATAGTTTGGTAAGCAGAGGTATTTGATCCAATAGCTTGGTAAGCAAAGTTAATTGATCCAATAGCTTGATATGCAGAATTAATTGATCCAATAGCTTGGTAAGTGAAGTTAATTGATCCATTAGCTTGGTAAATGGAGTTAATTGATCCAATAGCTTAATAAGTAGAGTTAATTGATCCAATAGCTTGGTAAGTGGAGTTTATTGATCCAATGGCTTGGGAAGTGGAGTTAATTCATTCAATAGCTTGGTAAGTGGAGTTAATTGATCCAATAGCTTGGGAAGTGGAGTTAATTGATCCAATAATTTTGTAATCAGAGTTAATTGATCCAATAGCTTAGTAATCAAAGTTAATTGATTCAAAAGTTTGCTAAGTGGAGTTAATTGATCCAATAGCTTTGTAATCAGAGTTAATTGATCCAATAGCTTGGTAATCAAAGTTAATTGATCCAATAGTTTGGTAAGCAGAGATAATTTATTCAATAGCTTGGTAAGTGAAGTTAATTGATCCAATAGCTTGGTAAGTGAAGTTAATTGATCCAATAGCTTGGTAAGTGAAGTTAATTGATCAAATATCTTAGTAACAGAGTTAATTCATTCAATAGCTTGGTAAATGAAGTTAATTGATCCAATAGCTTGGGAAGTGGAGTTAATTGATCCAATAGCTTTGTAATCAGAGTTAATTGATCCAATAGCTTAGTAATCAAAGTTAATTGATTTATAAGCTTGGTAAGTGGAGTTAATTGGTCCAATAGCTTGGTAATCAAAGTTAATTGATCCAATAGCTTGGTAAGTGGAGTTAGTTGATCCAATAGCTTGGTAAGTGGAGTTAATTGATACAATAGCTTGGTAAGCAAAGTTTATTGACCCAATAGCTTGATAATTGGAGTTAATTGATCCAATGTTAAAGAAGTGTGCCTTGAAGAGACATAATTATGATTGTTGTAGCACTTTGTTTAGTAAATAAGTTTTCTGTGGTTATAAAAGAAATTTTTAACAATGAAATAATAATTTTTTTCACACACTTATAGTGATGTGAAGGCAGCCATTTTTAAAGTAGCTGTCACATGATCACAGTTCTTTGTCATGTGATTTGATACTAAGATTTCCTTCTGAACTCCAGACTGTCTTTCAGTAATTCACAATATTCAAATCTTGGCATGGAGAGATCAATAATATATTTTTAATGAGCTTTGCATAATTGGATGTAGGTCCAGACTCTTTGGAAGACAAAGATTTTGGTTATTGTTGAGAGGTGTTTGCTGTAAAGAGGTTAAACCTATTGGAAAGTTGTATTTTGATAAGAATTGTTACTGATGTTTTGAAAAAGTAATTGCGCTATACTATACGGTCACAATGTACAAGTTGCACTGTACTTTGTACCTTCACCCCCTAACCCCCTCCCCCAGGACAATCACCTATGTTTTAATATTATCAGTCATTTGGAAATATATAAAAATAAAAATTTCATTCTAGGATGAAGGATGGTAGAGTTATTGCCCCTGGTGGAAGGTATCACATGACCCTTGAGGGCGGGACTGGTCAACTCGTGATTGACAATGTAACCTCGGCAGACACAGGAGTTTACACGTGCATTGTTTCAAATAACCAAGGCAAATCGTCATCCACAGCTGCTTTGAAACTCGAAGGTAAGTAGTTGTAATTAAAATGTTTTGATTTTGTCTGGACTGTGAGTAAAAAACTTTCTCAAACCCAGTTAATGGTCCAATTCTTTAACTAACCAGTAGTTATGTCGTATGAAGAAAAGTTTTTGAAAGTCAGAGGTACATTTTGAAACATATCTATTTAAGAAAGTTTTATGGTTATTTGAACCTTCCTGCGCTAGCCATTACTGATGTCATGTGATTTCACTGGACTGTGATTCTGAAGGTTTCAAACCCATTGACCCTAGTTGTGAGGCACTGACCTTTACCACAAAGCCACTACCATCTTTAATGGGATTAATTTGATTAGCTGAAAAGGATTGTTATGAAAGCATCTTTTATTGCGAGATCAACAAGACATGAAATTTCTTGCCTTGGTTGACCATTTTTAGCTCACCTGTCACAAAGTGACAGGGTGAGCTTTTGTGATCGCTTTTCGTCCGCCGTCCGTCCGTAAACTTTTACTTTAAATGACATCTCCTCATAAACCACTAAGCCAATTTCATCCAAACTTCACAGGAATGTTCCTTTGGTGGTCACCTTTAAAAATTGTTCAAAGATTTTAATTCCATGCAGAACTCTGGTTGCCATGGCAACCGAAAGAAAAAACTTTAAATATCTTCTTTTAAAGAACCCAAAGAGCTAGAGCTTAGATATTTGGCATGAAACATCTTCTAGTGAGTGTCTACTAAGTTTGTTCAAATAAAAGCCCTGGGGTCAAAATTGGCCCCGCCCCAGAGGATCATTGATTTTCCCTATATGCATATAGTGCCCTGGGGTCAAAATTGGCACGGCCCCAGGGGGTCATTGATTTTCCCTTTATGCATATAGTAAAAACTTAAAGAATCTTCTTTTAAAGAACTCAAAGAGCTAGAGCTAAGATATTTAGCATCAAACATGTTCTAATAGGTGTCTTCCAAGTTTGTTCAAATAAAAGCCCTGGGGTCAAAATTGGCCCCGCTCAGGGGGTTATTGATTTTCCCTATATGCATATAGTAAAAACTTAAAAAAGCTTCTTTTAAAGAACTCAAAGAGCTAGAGCTAAGATATTTAGCATGAAACATGCTCTAATGGGTGTCTACCAAGTTTGTTCAAAGAAAAGCCCTGGGGTCAAAATTGGCCCCGCCCCGGGGGTCATTGATTTTCCTTATATGTGTTTAGCAAAAACTTAAAGAATCTTCTTTGAAAAAACCCAAATAGCTAGAGTTTAGATATTAAGCATGAAACATCTTCTAGTGAGTGTCTACAAAGTTTGTTCAAATAAAAGCCCTGGGGTCAAAATTGGCCCCGCCCCGGGGGCCTTTAACTTTCCTTTTATGTGTATAGCAAAAACTTAAAAATCTTCTTTGAAAAAACCCAAATAGCTAGAGTTAAGATATTAAGCATGAAACATCTTCTAGTAAGTGTCTACAAAGTTTGTTCAAATAAAAGCCCTGGGGTCAAAACTGGCCCCGCCCCAGGGGTGTCATTGTTTTTAACTATATGTGTATAGTAAAAACTTAAAAAATCTTCTTTTAAAAAACCCAATGAGCTAGAGCTTAGATGTTTAGCATGAAACATCTTCTTATAGGTGTCTACCAAGTTTGTTCAAATAAAAGCCCTTAGGTTAAAATTGGCCCGGTGGGGAGAGAAGGTCATTGTTTTTCATTATATGTGTGTAGTAAATACTTAACATCATGAAACATCTTCTAATGGGTGTCTTCCAAGTTTGTTCAAATAAAAGCCCTGGGGTTTAAACTGGCCCCGCTCCGGGGGCCTATATACAGGTGAGCGACCTCAGGGCCATCATGGCCCTCTTGTATAGTGTAAATACACCTTTGTAGAGAATCTCTCCTTAATCTAATCTTAAAAAAAGTATTTTTTGGTCCCGATTTTGCTAGCTTGCTGCAACCTATTTTACGGATGGGACCAGTGCAGAACAAGATCAGCCTGTATGTCTTTGCCAACTCATCTGACCATTGTCTCCAAATTTTTTGTAACAGTTTTCTCAGCAACTGCTTATCACAGCTTCTTGATATGTGGTATACAGCATTAACATGTGGTCCAACATTGTGGTACTTGATTTCAGGTCTGTCGTTTATCCGTTTCCTTTTTACCGACTTGGTTTAATTTTCAACAAAATGGTCAGTGGTAGGAATTTTTGTAATTGTTTTTTCAGCAACTACTTATCACAGCCGCTTGATATTTGGTACACAGCATTAACATGTGGTCCCATATTGTGGTACTTGATTTCAGGTCTGTTGTTTATCCACTTCCAGTTTACTGACTTAAATTTTCGACATTAATGGTGAATGGTAGAAATTTATCCTACCATCACACAGCCTCATGATATTTGGTAAACAAATCTAACACCGCCATTTCTGTCTTTAACCCTTTTTGAGAAAGATTTTGAATGGCATCATAATTAATTACAGAAAACTGTATTATCACTTTACAGGTTGCTTCAGAGACCATTTTTTTTATCAATAATTAATGAAACTTAAGAGCCTGTCTTACTGATTATATTGTCAAAATTGTGTATACTGGCTGAAAAGGAAGGATACAAGAAACCACACGTCAACACCAGATAAATATGAACAGTATTTTAATTAAGATCTACTGGTTTCAAATCTATATGGTTCTTCATCAGGATAATTTGTACAAAATCATTCTATCTAAAGTATAAAAATTGTGTAAGATGGTAAGTCACATGATAAAAATAAAAATAGTAACAAAATTAATAAAGTTTTCTAAAAATAGATAAAGTCTTGGAAAATTGCCAGGAAAATTGTGGAAAGTGTGCCAAGTTTCTTTGTTAATTAGTTGTTTGGAATGCGTCATATAGGTGATAAGTTCGTTTTCACTATTGTGCATTAACTATTAAAAATTGTGTACAGTTCAAATGAAGTTTAAAACAATGAAACCAAATCAAAAATCAAATTCCAGAAGTCCATTGAAGAAATTATGAACTTTTCTTGCATAAATCTTATGTACATGTAAGCTATTTATTGTCCACCATGGCTCTTATGTTTTGTTAAAATGTCTTACAGGTACATTTACATGGAGTTACTTTTTAAGATCACTATCTTAAATGAGAAGTAAGTTTCTTTTAACTGATATTAGTCAAAAACAGTATCTGTTGGAGAATGGTGACAGCACTGTGTTTACTATGTTAGTTTATACAATTTCTTTTTAGTTTGATTTTGTTGGAATGTATAATCTTATTGATACACTGTTGAATCCGTTCCTGGAACCAACCAGTACCAAGCAATGAATGTAAAGTTTCTTGCTCAAGGAAACCCTGGCTTGCCCCTGACAGGATTTAAACCGGTCACATTGTCAGCAATCCTTAGATGTTGACCACTCGGCCATAATCGCCACTATGTTGACATGTCTAAAATTTTTATTTTGCTTTCAAACATTCCCACATAGAGTATGTTAGTATCTTGACTGTATGCAACACTGACTGATTGATTTATTGTACAACTTCCAGCAATCAGGAGCCTCACTTTGATTAGGTCTTGTGATAATTGACATTTTTTATGTGACCATCTACCGCACACGTATACTAAGCCTGACTCTTCTACAACAAGTTGGCATGGTCTGTTAAGCTGATATTCTCTGTAGATTTTATTGACCTTCCCATCTAAGGTCATACTTATAATGGTATTCCAGTCAGAAACATATATGCTTGTTTTATCTGGACTGACAGCCTAATGCCAAGGCCGACTCAAGAAAGCATTGCCTTCAGAATCGTAGAAATATGACTGCAATAAAGTACCCGACATGTCCACTAGCTTAATACATCCAGGATTAGTGAAGGAGACAACAAATTTGTCATTACAGTATACGATACCCCGGCACTCACCCCATACTGCAATATCTACATTATTATTTACTTTCATAGATTCAGACAACCGTGTAATCCTAATCTTACCGGCATCGGGAAATGTAATTGCAATTGTATCTTCTGTAATTTTTGCAATAGCCCAAGGTTGATTTGGTAATATTTTTTTATCAATAAAATCTAGATTTGTGCTTGATATATTTAATATACCCAGGCAATAGTTGTGGAAATCAGTTACCACTAATGTCCTTTTACTCAAAATACACAGGTATGAAAATTCTTCAAACCAGAAGTCTAATTCACCTTCAAAAGTTGTCTTTCTTATGGTTGCTGATTTTGGTTTCATTTCAAATGAAAAAAATGCTTTTGAGTTCTCTAAAGTTGCAATTGTGGTATTTAACTGTAGTTTTGGTTCAACTTTAATGTAATTTTCTTCATAATTCTTTAGCTTTTCAGTTGTTTTGCTAATTTCTTTTGATATTTTTTCAGCAATTTGTATGTTTATAAAAAGTTTGCATTTTTGATCCAGTGCTTCTGCTACGGAAATATCTGTTGACAATTTCTTCAATTCACTCACCAAAGTGTTGAATTTTTGTTTAGTTGTTTTGTAAACAATATTTGAACTTTCAACCTTTTGGTCCACATCGTGTTCATCTTTACTAATCTTTTCTTCCAAATTGGTTTCTTTCTCAGACAGTACTTCAACAAGAGCCTTTCGTTCTTTCTTTAATCTTGCAATAGTTTCTTCCATTTTCTCATCAAAGTCTTTGATGAGCTCTTTATGGTGTTTTCTGTATATGTCAATTAGATGACTTTTATGCATCATACATGTTTGTCTGGCCTTTACTTCTTGTTTTTCAATAGCATCACTTTTGAATCTTACCAATTCTTCAGTTAAGGCAATGTCTTTTGACAATTTGTGAAGGTTTTCTTTAAAGTCTTTCAATATTTGAGATTGTTTGATATCTTTTATAAATGTTGGCAAGTGATTTACCTGTCCACAACTTTGATGGTCATTTTTCTTGCATTCTGGACAAGCAACTGTTTCACAATCAGAGCAGTAGAACTTTATATTCTTGGTAGGATGAGTGGAACATTTCTCCAGATAGAAATCCTGCGGCATACAGTTCTTGTCTTGTATGGTATGGGTTTTAAAGTGTCTCATGTGGTATTTAAGGCAGTTGTCACATTTATACTCCACACAATCCACACAGAAACCTTCAGCTGGAGCAACATGGCCATCACATTCCTCACAGAACATTTCTTCTACTGTGTCTGACTCCTTTGTCAGTGAAGAACTGAAATTTGTAGCCATTTTCTGATAGAATTTGAATAATAACCTATTTGCACATTTTTCTTAATTCTGAGTCAGTTAAGACTGTACTTATGATATCATTTAAATCAGGGGTTTAAGATTTCATTGATAATAAATTAGCTGAGATTTCATGATTATTTGGATGGTTGAGATAACAAAATATCATGTACATTTGATATAAGTTAAAGGTACTTGTTCAAAGTTAAAAGTAAGTTTTGTCAAGGAAGAAGGTAAAACTTTAGTAGTACCAGTCTACAGTTTGGTTAGTCTCCGATATGACATTAGGTGATCATTTTCTTGAAATATCTCTGATATGTCATGAGTATGACTAAAAAATCAGCCATAGATTATATAGATAAAGACAATGCAGTACAAAGGTTCTGTCACACTAAATCTACTTCAAGGTCTATTGCTAGTACGAGTATACACTGGAAGGTGTCTGTACTATATTGGAAGAAGAAGAAGAAGAAATATACTTGTATATGTATATAGTTACAAAAACAAGTCCCCACTTATCTGTGTTGACAGGTGTGTTATGACAATCATTAGAGTGTGGTCTCAGATCTGGATTAGAATACAAAGTCATGTTAAAGTGAAAATTTTAACAAACTTAATTTGTCATATAATAGGTGAGTGGTCTTATTACACCACCGCTTTAAAAGTGAGGGCATACTGTGAATGGGTCAGTTTTTACAGATATACATCCTTACAGTCCTGAGATTTGGTCTGAAGGTCAAGGTCACATTGACAATAATCTGAGGAGTAATTAGGTAAAGTTTATGCCCTGTTGTTCTCTAGGCCATTTAAGGCAGAACTCTTTCTCTGTTTTTTGGGGACCTGTTTTTGTAAAAAGAGAGTTTAGCAACATTTATGGTAGAGTGGTTAAGGTCTTTGACTTCAAACCCTTTGCCTCTCACAGCTGTAGGTTTGAGCCCCACAAGGGTTGCCAGATTCTACATGTGAGAAAGGTATCCATCTAGCTCACTGATCATCGTTGGTTCTACTCTGTGCTTGTTTGTGCCAGAAATAATGTACAGAGGGGCACTCAAGGTCTTTCTCCACCAATAAAGCTGGAAGGTTGCCATAATTTTATGACCTATACTGTGATTGTGCAACGTAAAATCTAACAACAACAAAAAACAATAATGAGCAGCCAAGAAAATAAAATAATTCATTCATATGCTTTTGAAACTTTTAGTTATGATACTACATTTTGTACATGTATTATTATATCTAATTTAAATTATTATACATGTAGATATTACTTATCAGTATAATACTTGACTTACATGCGTCACATTGATGACACGTATACATATATTGTACACATGATAATCAGAGTAAAGTCACCTGGTATTAAGGCAGAAAAATATTTTGCATTGTACATGTACTATGATTTGAATATTGCTAGTAAAGATATATTGAAGGCAGTCAGGCTTGAATAAAAAACTTTTTATTTATCCCTTATAACCCTTAACATGCACTCAATTTCTTCAACAGACTTGTCAATTTTTATTTTTGAGCTTTGGAGGTGTCACATGATAAAAATTTAAAGTTGGTCCGTCAACTGTAAAGACCCTCAGGTCAAACTGCATGAATGTACAGACAGGCGATGGCTACATCAGGGTGAATGAGTTGGTGTAGTATTCATGAGGTAGACCGACAGATTTATAAAAAAATTGTGTGAATTTGTATTTTATAAATAATGTTATCTATTTTCAGAGCCAAAGAAAGACCGATACACTCCTGACAGACTTCTTGAAGAAAGTAAGTATTGTTACCTTTAAAAGAGTAAATTATTGCAAGAACATATGTCTATATCAATGATTTTGATCAGTGTTGAGACAATTAATGTTTTTATTTTTCTTAGTAGTTTATTTGTTAAAGATAATAGCCACTATCAAATTACCTGACCAGTAATAGGAAATGCAGTTTATTCAAATTAGACATATTCAGTATGTATTTACTAGATTTCATTAAATATTTGCAAAAAAAGTATTTTACCAAAAGATGAGCATAGTATATTTTTGAATAATAATTAATGGTAACAATTGCTGTTAGTTAACGTGAAATGAAATAAATCTTTTTTAACAACAGGAACATCAAGAAAGGACAGATATACACCAGATAAATATTTGCTGGACGATTCAACCTCGGCTAAACGTCCTTATCTAGATTCTGACAAATACGATAAATACGATAAATTCGATAAATTCGACAAATATGACAAATACGATAAATATGACAAGTACGATGGTATGTATAAACTGGTTTTGAGTGGTTTGAATAAATTTATTTTTGCTTTTTTTTAATGGATTGAAAAATAATAAACATGCATGACTGGGCAATTATATTTTCTGACAATTTAACAATTGTTTTTTTTATTATTTTTTTAAACATTTTAATACTTACCTTTATAAGAGTTAAGTAAGAAAAGCTTAAGAATAACTTTTGGTAGATATCGTTAAATTCTCAAACAGTTAGTAACTTAGTATATTTTGCTACATTATCTTTGTCATTTTTCTGATTTGCAAAGGAAAAAGTTAAGTTTTAAGAATTGTAGCAAAATGAGAATTTAATATTTTCTATAAGATAATATTTGTTATACAATTTTATAGTCCTGGTTAAAACATAAAACATGAATTCAGCTATTGAATAACAAGGGATTTTCAACAAAGAGAATTCACTTTCAAGATGAGTTTAAACAAAGCCATTTATTAGAATGGGATAAAATTTTATTGTTTTTGTAATGTTTGTTATAGTTTGTTTAGTAAATACGATGAAATCATTTTATAAACATGTATGACAGTTAATTGGTAAGTGTTTGTTGCCTGCATTGCTCATACTTCATTTATTATCAGCTAAAGTCAAAAGAACCTACGAAAGCCCGCTTGCTTCTACAAAACTTGATGACAGTTACACCCCACGCTCGAAGAAAAAATATGACAGCCCGAAAAGCTCGTATGATAGCTACAAACCGAGGTACGAGTCATCTTTTGAAAGTCCGAACATGTCTTTTGAGAGTTCCAAGATGTCTTACGACAGCCCTAAACGCTCCTACGAAAGTCCACTTACACAATACGATAGTTCCTTTGGAAGACTTGAAAGTCCTGTACGACAGTATGATTCCTATAAAAGATACGAAAGTCCAGTTCGTCAGTATGATGGGATTTCTACAAAATACGAGAGTCCTGTAAGGCCATATGAAAGTATTTCGTCAAGGTACGAGAGTCCAATTCGACAGTATGATGGGATATCTACAAAATATGAGAGCCCTGTCAGACCATACGAAAGTATTTCAACAAGATACGAAAGTCCAGTTAGAATGCATGACACACCAAGGAGCGTGTATGAAAGTCCAAGAAGACGGTCTTCAGTTGGAAGAGAGGAAAAAATAAAGGCTGTACCAAAAATACCATTCGATCGGCCAGCACTGCTGAACAAACGTGAAGATTCAGTGCAGTTATCGTGGCTGCCAGCTCCAACTTACGATTTACCGGATGATGCTCGACATATTTCGTATGTAATAGAATCACGAGAAGTGCCGAGTCGAGAATGGACAAAGATAGCATCGGCTGTGCATGGAACATCGTTCACTGCCAGACACTTGAGACCTGATAAGGAATACGAGTTCCGAGTACGAGCCCAAAATCAACATGGTGCTAGCGAACCCACTTGGAATGCCTCGCTTGATAAAAGAGTTGGTTAGTTCTTGCTTGATTTTTGTTTTGTATTTTAATTGCTTATTATAAACCGAGTTGACTTTTCCTTGCAGCTATGTTATTTATTTTAAATAATAATAATCAAAAATTTGATGTAAAAGACCTCAAATTTTAAATTATAAGTAAATATATCGTTGTTTTCCTCAAAAATTTATTCTTTATGTAATTAAGATTGTTATGTCCAGAAGGTTTTAAGTTAAAGGTAACTATTGATAATTCAATACTATATGAACTTCATGGAAATATTCACACCTTGACTTTACCCATCAAATTTTTCCAAAGCATTTGTCACATTCTGTGTTACTTCTTGTCCAAAATCTCACTTTCAGAATGTTCCTTCACATGCTAAACAAAATCTAATCAAATATTCTCATATATAATGAAATGAAACAAAATTTATCATATGCACATTTTTCCTTCAACCCAACCTTGATAAAAATGATTTTTCTATTTTGATAAACAATCTTGAAATTGAGACCCCTCATCCCAACAACCTTGCACATAATTATGACCTTATATCACTGTTTAAGTTTGAGTGATATCAAATGGCTTTCTCTGAAAATAAAACGTAAAAACCGAGTCTATTGTACAACAGTGATAAATCGGTAGTTTCAGTGAAAAACTTGGATTTCGTATTGTAATACTCCTAAATTAAGAATATTTTTAGCTCGACTATTCGATAAGAATAAGTAGAGCTATTGCAGTCACCCGAGCGTCGGCGTCGGCGTAACCACTTATGTTAAAGTTTTTGTAATAGTTCAAATATTTTCAAAGTCCATTGACATATGGCTTTGAAACTTTGCACACTTGTTCACCATCATGACCCCAACCTGTAGACAGGAGGAGGTAACTCTATCAAGTATTTTGACAGAATTATGCCCCTTTTTCGACTTAGAATTTACGTTAAAGTTTTTGTAATAGTTCAAATATTTTCAAAGTCCATTGACATATGGCTTTGAAACTTTGCACACTTGTTCACCATCATGACCCCAACCTGTAGACAGGAGGAGGTAACTCTATCAAGTATTTTGACAGAATTATGCCCCTTTTTCGACTTAGAATTTACGTTAAAGTTTTTGTAATAGTTCAAATATTTTCAAAGTCCATTGACATATGGCTTTGAAACTTTGCACACTTGTTCACCATCATGACCCCAACCTGTAGACAGGAGGAGGTAACTATCAAGCATTTTTGACAGAATTATGCCCCTTTTTCGACTTAGAATTTCCGTTAAAGTTTTTGTAATAGTTCAAATATTTTCAAAGTCCATAGACATATGGCTTTGAAACTTTGCACACTTGTTCAACATCATGACCCCAACCTGTAGACAGCAGGAGGTAACTCTATTAAGCATTTTGATAGAATTATGCCCCTTTTTCGACTTAGAATTTACGTTAAAGTTTTTGTAATAGTTCAAATATTTTCAAAGTCCATTGACATATGGCTTTGAAACTTTGCACACTTGTTCAACATCATGACCCCAACCTGTAAACAGGAGGAGGTAACTCTATCAAGCATTTTGACAGAATTATGCCCCTTTTTCGACTTAGAATTTACGTTAAAGTTTTTGTAATAGTTCAAATATTTTCAAAGTCCATAGACATATGGCTTTGAAACTTTGCACACTTGTTCAACATCATGACCCCAACCTGTAAACAGGAGGAGCTAACTCTATCAAGCATTTTGACAGAATTATGCCCCTTTTTCGACTTAGAATTTACGTTAAAGTTTTTGTAATAGTTCAAATATTTTCAAAGTCCATTGACATATGGCTTTGAAACTTTGCACACTTGTTCACCATCATGACCCCAACCTGTAAACAGGAGGAGGTAACTGTATCAGGCATTTTTTTTACTATCAAGCACTAAGAATAGTCGAGCATGCTGTCCTACCGACAGCTCTTGTTGATTTTCCCAGCTAATCTGAGGGTACGAACAATTTTTTATAGTCGCAGCTTCAGAAAAAAAAGCACAACCCGTTAACTAATTTATTTGAACGGCAGTGCAATGTAATGCTATAAGTGTAAAAAATTGTTTGTATACGCGGATAAGCTTGGAAAAACCCACATTTGCCAAGTTTTGGGTAACAGATATAAGATGTGCGTTTCATTTTAGACCCTTTGAATGTTCGTACTGATAAGTACATGCCTAATGCAACACACTGTTATAGAGTCAGGCCATCTTGTACTTCTTTGCTGGATGACATACAGTTGACTGATTGATTTTATTAATACATGTGCCTTAATATTGAAATCCCTCGAACTTGAAAAAAAAGGATGGCTCCAAATATGAACCAAAGTCTATCAATTACACAAAGTCTGAGATATAAGGGTTTTATTTTTAGCTTGTCTGATGCAAAGAAAAAATCTAAGAAAACTATTATGGTCTTCATCGTCATGCAAAAATTTTAATGTAGCTTATTATTTAAACTTTTTAAAAGGTATCAACATGAAACTTGGAATACTTGCTTATCATAAAATGATGCAGTTGTTAGACAATGGGCCATAATTCTGAAAGCTTTATTTGTTAAGTTATGCCAATTTTAAGAGACAAGTGTTTAACGCCCCATATTGTGCTCTTGTTTAAGACAACAACTTGCATCTTGCTTTTTCCAAATTGCATGCTCTCATTCTTTATCACAGTTTTATTGTTTCTTTACCCCTGTTTTTCAAATATCCCCTGTTTTCAAATGTGTGCTGTTGAAATCCAATTGCTTTGAAACATGTATTTCCCCTCTATGCACAATCATGTTTTTCTGCTTCTTCACAGATTCTACAAACTTCTTTCACATGGTCTTCGAAGAGTGGTTGTTTTGTTTTTCATACAATGCATATTTTTGCACTCTACATGTTGTGTTTATTGAACTGCCTTTGACTTTTATATGTTTTTTTTTTAGATAATATATAATGAAATTTATATTCGAGTTAAAAGTTAACATAAAACTCCATAAACACCTAGATAATATTTCTACCGGAAACCTTAGAAATCGAAAGCAAATATTTTCTCAAAATACTTGAATTTAAGATTTTTGTGGACAATTGGATTGTAAACTTGAAATGTGGTGAAACCTATGTAGTGATTTTTCTGCTTATTATATAATGGATTCCTCTAAAAGGCCTCTTCTGAATTGAAATTTTCTTTAGAATCATCCAGTTTTCCCAAAAATCTTACCCCAGCTTTTTTACTTCAAATTTTAAATTTTTACAATAATTTTCCCCAAAATCTAGAGGCTAATAATTGGCCTCTTTCCATTCAACTAAGTGGGAAAAAAACACTGCTGCGTGTTTTTTTTTGTTGTTGTTTTTTTGGTTGAATTCTTCTGTATGACTGTAAATAAGAGAGGTTTCACGCCACTAAAACGATTTATTTTCTATTTTAAATTGGTTGATCAAGACTGAAAAAAACCACACCAGACACCAGAGGAACAATACTTCTTGTTGACCATTGGAGTTTTATGCTAACATTTAACTACAAAAAAGGAAGAAAATATTTGAATTTTTACTTGTATTATATTATCTAAAGCTACTTTTTCTTTCTCTTTATTTTTGTTCAGATGGAACTAGTAAACAGCTGGACATGCCTGAAATGCGGGGTGAGTATGGGAGGGAAAGAAAGATATTTTGAGTAACATAATTTGTTGTTTCGTGAAAATTGTATTGTTTTTTATTATAATAATTGATTCGTTTATTTTCCATTAATTTTTTTTGTGGTGTTTGTAAATTTTCAAATATTGTTGTTGATAATTGTTTAAAATTTAGCTTAGTTTCATGCAATTTTGCTTATTTTTGGGCAATTTTGCTTATTTCGAGGCAATTTTGCCTAGTTCAAGCAATATTGCTTGATGTTTTTTGATATTGTTTGTATTTTTTTTGATAGCTTACTGATAATGAAAAATAATAAAATTTATAATAATATTTAACAATTATTAAGATACATGTCATTAATTATTGTTTAATTTCATATTCACTCATTTCTCATTCACTTAACCAGATTAAAAACATAATAAAATTTTAACATTTATTTAATATTTAAACATCTTGAAAGGAAGCTATGATAGATTTCAATCCTAAGGTAAAAGTGAAGCATTTTTTCCATGTTTGTTTTAAAAATATTTTATTACCAGTCTAAATATGAAGCTCTGCCATTGGCCAATATCAAAATTCAAATTCAACCAATCAGATCATAGAATTACAGTCTTGCTTCCTTTCTCAGCATGTTGCACATGTGGAGATATTGCTGGTTCAAAGTAAAGAAGTAACTCAATACTGACTTTTAGACACTAAAAGCTGACTTTTGTCTACTTATCTTCTGTTCATATTTAGCTCCGCCCAGATTGCCTTCTCATCGACCAATCATAACTGACTTGGGGGAGGAGACATTGAGGTTGGCATGGCGACCTGCGGAGACCTACCAATCAAAGAGAACGCCCCCTGTTTCATACAGATTGGAAGCGAAAGAGCTTCCTGGTATAAAATAACACTTCATTTTACAAACTTTTTCATTATTAACATCGTTAACAGCTTTATTTAAAGTAACTTCATGTTTGAAGTGTGTTATCTAATATAACGGGTCATATTTCTTTTGATCAGATGGCCTTGATTGTTTTATATACTTATAATATAATCATAACACATTTCTATTTATAACACATGGTAAAGGCAACTCGCTTCAAGATGAGAGATGTGTAACGTAAATCTACAAAAATTCAGATTTAAGAAAAATGTATAAACATTTCACAAAGCAGAAAGATGTACAAATAATAAGAAAAAACTTACTGGTAGTTTAAGTTTGAATTGTGAATTTTGTGTGATTTCTTAGTGATTATTAGTCAGATTTTAGATACAAGTGTTTAAACACTTTATTGTTAGGTCATTATTCATAATGAAAATGATTATTCTTGGGGGGGGGAAAAACCCAGAGGGAAACCAATGATCTGTAATCTTGCACAAAAGTTATTGATCCAAGCCTACATAGAACTGTATATAAATCTTTCACTACTATTTCCAGTAAAGTCATTTAAAAAAGAAAACTTTAATACTAAAGTCTCAATACAACGTAAAATGTGTGATTACATGAGAAGTTTTCTTCAGTTTGATATATCTTATTTACTTTTCTTTCCTTATTTTATACATGTACTTGTAAGTTTCTTTAAATTGATATGCTTTTCAAAACTTTGAGTTTATTTCTTACTCTTTTGCTTCTTTCAACATTTTTATTAACACAATTCTAATTCCAAAAAAAAAATTGCGGGAAACTTGAGATGAAACATGGTATGAAAAAAAGACTGTTCACATATTGATATGTTTTGTAACTATTTGTAGGCAAAGACTGGATGCCACTGTCTAGCCGCCTTCGTGACACTTCACACTATTTATCTGAGCTTCCACACGACAGAGATTTCATGATCCGAGTCCGAGCAGAGAATGATTTCGGAATGAGCGAACCGACAGAACCGTTGTGGCTTCCCAGGGCCACAGGTAGTGTTTTATTTGATATGCATTTCTTCTTTAGATTACTTACCCTGCTGAGGTGGTGGAATGGATTTGCCAGTACCAACCATTTAAATGTTTATCAATTTCAATTTCAAAAATACAAAAATAAAGCTAATAGGATGGTTGAGCCTGGTTTGGTTTAAACATATTTATTTAAGCTTGATTGTGAAACAAGCTATTGAAACTTATATGAATCACTTACTTGGTTTGATTGAGTCAGTACATCAGGGATAATGAATAACTGCAACATCCCTCACGCCCCCTAGCACCGGCTGAAGGTTGGCTTGTGGTGGCAAAGGCTAATCTTCTTTTTTTTTTGGTTCCAGCAGGTTAAAGGTTAAATCTAAAGAAAAAAACAGAATGAAAATTTATGCAGCGGAGGCATGCCAGTTAAGATGTTTATGCCCCCACAAAGTGGGAGCATATAGCGTTGCACTTGTCCGTCCGTCTGTCCGTCCGTACGTCCCGAAATCTTGTGAACGCAACTCCTCTTAAACCGGATGGCAGATTTTGCTTAAACTTCCAGGGATGAACAACCTTAATGTGTAGATGGTTGTAAAGAAAGGAATTTTTGCTGCGACCAAATTTAACAGAATTATGGTCCTTTGTTGATTTTTTCACTATATACTATGTAGAAATTTTGTGAACGCAACTCCTCTTAAACCGGATGGCAGATTTTGTTTAAACTTTCAGGGATGAACAACCTTAATTTGTAGATGGCAGTAAAGGAAGGAATTTTTGCTGCGGCCAAATTTAACAGAATTACGGCCCTTTGTTGATTTTTTCACTTTATACCATATAGAAATTTTGTGAACGCAACTCTTAAACTGGTTGGCAGATTTTGTTTAAACTTTCAGGGATGAACAACCTTAATGTGTAGATGGTAGTAAAGGAAGGAATTTTGCTGCAACCAAATTTAACAGAATTATGGCCCTTTGTTAAGTTTTTCACTATATACCATATAGAAATTTTGTGAACGCAACTCCTCTTAAACCGGATGGCAGATTTTGCTTAAACTTCCAGGGATGAACAGCTTTAATGTGTAGATGGTAGTAAAGGAAGAAATTTTTGTTGCGACCAAATTTAACAGAATTATGGCCCTTTGTTGATTTTTTCACTATATACCATATAAATAATTGAACATATAAATTTTACATTTGTAATTTAATTTAACATGTACATAAGGTTACCTGTAGATCATTTTAGGTATATGTACAGAAATGAAACAGTGGAATGAAAAAGTTCCACATAAAAATCTTACATACAGATAGCATGCTTTTGTTTATGAGCACATCTGCACAGTGGGGGCATCCGTGTCCTTTGGACACTTTTCTAGTTTTTAAGATGTTTTATGAAACCTAAGTATTATATCAAAATTTCTTCAAGTTTTGATACTTTCATTATTTTTGTAAAATAAATACTTAAAATTTGTTATACTTTGTAGAAAAAGGATGACCAAGCACTTTTAGTTAATACACTATAATTTGGTTGTTTTGATAATTTACAGCCTTCCCTGGCGTTCCAGTCACACGTCCTGAAATCATTGACTATGAAGATACGCGAGCCAAGTTGTCCTGGTCGCGTGTGGATATACCTGCATTTAGTTTGGGTGATTCGCATTTGATGTATATGCTTGAGGTATTGATTTGCATAAATGATTTGTTATTCAGTTTTGTTGCTCTGCGCCCACATTATAGAGGTATTGCCCCCTTACCTCAATAGGGTGAGTTTCCGATTTATAATCCAGGGGTCGCCAGTTCAGTCCTTGGGCAAGGCAAAATTTCTTTATGACATTTTTTTTACTCTCCTTCATTGAGTCTAATGGTCATTTGTTTCAAAATGCTGGTTCAAAACTCATAGGGGATTAGTAGTCGGTCATTTTCAGAGAAATTGGTAATTACTGGTTAGTTATCCAGGCCAAACAGGTTAGGTGGGCTGACTGTCAATTTATGACCAAAATTGTTAAAACTGGCCTAAAAAAACAACAACAGTCAAACAAACAGTTTTATGATGTGTGCTTTTTTATGCAACAGCAGGGTTTTCAAACTCACAGTTTTCCCGAATGTTTAAAAAAAATTTGAATGACCGTACAAATAAATTATTCAGACCTTTGAGTATTTCATATGACCATACTTTTAAATAGAATTATGTTGAAAACCAATTCAGGTTGAAGAACCACCTCATAAGGACTGGAGGACCATTGCTAGAGACTTGGACGACACAGAGTACATTGTTGAGGGTCTTAGACCAGGTCATGATTACAGGTTCCGGGTGCGAGCCAAGACACCGACTGGTATCGTCAGCGAACCTTCCCCAGCTGTGTCTCTTTACACCAAACTTGGTAAGTTATCCTCTGTCTAAAGTAAGTGGCTTAGTGCCAACTTGGTAAGTTACTGTTAGCATACAGAAAAACTTGGTATGTTTTGTAATTTTTAAAAGCTAGGTATTCTTATTTCTTTTGATTTGGTAAGTTGCAATCTTGAAATTTTGAATATTGCTTACTGTTATCTTAATACACTGGATTCCTTTGATTGTGTAAATTTTGTGAGCCTGCAGACTCCACTGAGGTTAAATGGCTTAAAATCATAAAAAAATGAAATTAATTCATGTACTGGTGCGCTTACAGTGGAAAACTTTACAATAGATTATATATAAATATACTTGTTGATAAAATGGCAATCAATATTCTATGCAGTTTTGTGGTCGATTTGAGTAAAAAGCATTGCAACGCTTTTCCAATTTGAGGTCAATTTGGGGCAATAAAATTGATAATCCCTGGGAGGCTTAGTGAACAAATGATCCGAAAATTTGTACACAAGTTATAGTCAAGACCTACATACATTTGTTCAAAACTTTTGGTCCCTTCATGTCAAAAAATCAAAACAAAAACTCAGTGGAGTCCCTTTAAGATAAAAATTTGTATTACTTTTCTTAGAACTTTTTGGGTTACATAGTTCAACTTATTATAATAAAAAGACTTCACTGATTTTTTTTACATGACATCACTGAAAATATTTTTTTTGAGATTTGTGTAGCATTTGGTATAGATCTGGACAAATAATTTGTTTGCAATATTTCGGATCACTCTCTCTCTCTCTCCTTTTCCCCAGATAAATCATTTACACTGTGCAAAGTAAAAAGAAATAAAAAAAGTTGTTTATAACTTTTCGTTAAAACCGAGCTAAAAATCATGAAAAAATGAATTTTCAATTTAATTCTTAGTATATTTCTTAATCATCATTCGCAGATTTTTTTCCCCATCTTTAGTGCATCACTTAATCTATGCATGAATTCAAAATATATCTTTTTGGCTTTTAGACCTCTGATTTGAGCTCCTTTAAGCTGCTTGGATTAAACTTGTCAAATTTAAATCATGATTATTTGAAGAAAAAAAAAAATGAAAATATTATTTCAGCCCAGAGCAGGGCACCAGTGGACAGACTTGAAGTTATTGACTATGAGCCGGATAGCAGGAGTGTGAATTTGTCATGGGACCGTGTAAATATCCCGCCCTACAATCTCGATGAAGAACCTCTGATGTATATGCTGGAATATCAAGAACCTCCAATGCCTGAATGGAAAACACTTGTTACTGGTAAGAGAAGTTTAAGGACTTCAGATTTTTGGCTTGTGTATGTGCGAACAATTTCTTGTGTGCACAACTTTTTCTGTATTTTTTTGAAATCAAAATTTCCATAAAATGGTTGTCATCAAGTGCTTTAGGCATATTTTCAAGAGTTAGTGATTGATTCATACTATTGCTGAATTATGGCCCTTTGTTGTTGTGTACAGACAAACCTGTGACTAACAGGTCACTAAAGGCAGAGACAAATCATGGCCTTTATAGACAAATGGTCTTTATTTGGAAGTTATTTATTCCATTTTTATCAATGATGGGTTATCAAAAAGTGACCTATATTTGCAGGGTTATCTTTATTCATAGGTGGTCTATATGCCAGGTTTGACTGTATTTTTGTCAATTATGTAAGATGGGCGGAAAACTTGGTTCTTTTTTTTTCGTAATATTAAATGTTCTGTTCCAGGAATACCAACTACCAGGTACAGGGTCATGCACCTTGACAGTGACAGAGACTATAACTTCAGAGTTCGAGCCCTGACACCATACGGAGTGAGTCCACCATCACCAGCTTTGCCCGTCTCAATGAGACCATCTTCTCAAGGTAAGATTTATCATGCTTTCTAAACTCTGGCATTTATTGTGTATCCTTAGGGCCTCCATGGTCAAGGTGAGATTTATCGCCCTTTCTTAACTCTGGCATTTATAGCAAGTCCTTTGGACCAACATGGTCATGTGGTTATTTAAAGATTTTATACATTTGTTAAGAAATAAATTTAAGTGTTAATATACATGTATATATATGACATGATTTAATGCAGAATTTTTACAATTGTTGTGCCTACTACAGTTCCAAGAGGCTTGCCAGAAAAGGTCATTATCTCGGAAGTGGAGCCACACTCTCTTAGGTTGTCATGGCGACGACCCATGTATGATATTGATAAACCAATTAGTTACCAGGTTGAAATGTTGGAATCGCCCTTCTCTGACTGGAAGCCAATTGCTACAAGAGTTATAGACACCACTTACAAAGTAACAGGTACATTTTGAAATTGCAATATACTCAAATTTCAAGTCATACAAAAAAGAAGAAACACACATAAATCTCTAATTGCCCTGTTTTTAGCAAATCAACAAAAAATTAGGAATAGACTTTGCTATCTCATTTTTTGGACAGCAAAAAAATCACTAAGCAAGCTATAATGTTCTGGGTGAGGAAATCCATACATGTATGTCTGTATACAAAAACTTCTTGATATAAGCGATATTTTTTGATTTCCATGTTACAGGTTTGAAACCTACACGTGACTACCAGTTCCGTGTGATCCCGCACATAGACTCCGGATACCTGACGCCTAGCCCATCTGCAGCTCTTACAACTATGCCAGGTTTGTAATGTGCACGTATATATTTTCTTTAATGTATCATAAGCGTTAGGTATTGTGTATTTGTAAATTGTGTGAATGGAGAGGAATAAAATTAATCTTTAACCTGTAACAACTCAAAAGTGATTTGGTTTTTGCCAGACTTAAAGCAATGCAGGGCATCCATGGCCTAGTGGTTAAGGTCGTTTACTTCAATGTGCTTCCTCTCAACACTGTTGGAATGAATCTTTAGAGGGACTTTGCATTTTTTCTGTGAGGAAGTCATTCAGCTAGCTTGCGGAACATGGGTTGTTCTACTCCGGAACTTTGGATTCTTTCTTGTGAGGAAGCTATCCAGCTAACTAAAGGAAGGTTGCTGGTTTTACCCACATGCTTGCTTGTGCCTGCAGTAATGCACAAAGGGGCACATAGGGGACTTTCTTGGAAAAAGGCGTAAAATGAAACAAACAAATCTTAATCAGTTAAGCTGGAAAGTTGCCAAATTAACCATTACAGTGTCAGTGTAACCTAAAACCTAGACAAAATATAATTTTATTATACCCCCAAAAACGAAGTTTGGGGGGGTATATAGGAGTCACCCTGTGGTCGGTTGGTCGGTCGGTCGGTCGGTCGGTCCAGACGTCCGTTGCATTTTCCTTGTCCGAACCATAACTTGAAGACTAATGGTTGGAATTCAATATAACTACATACAATGGTCAAGCACATTGAGAGGAAGTGCAGTGCACAAGAACCATAACTCTATCTTGACTAATTACAGAGTTATTGCCCTTTGTTACTTTTCCTTGTCCGGGGCATAACTTGAAAACTACTGGTTGGAATTCAAAACAACTTCATACAATTGTCAAACACAATAAGGGGAAGTGCAGTGCACAAGAACCATAACTCTATCTAAAGTTATTACAGAGTTATTGCCCTTTGTTACTTTTCCGTTGCTTTCTTTTGTCCGGACCATAACTTGAAGACTAATGGTTGGAATTCAATATAACTACATACAATGGTCAAGCACATTGAGAGGAAGTGCAGTGCACAAGAACCATAACTCTATCTTGACTAATTACAGAGTTACTGCCCTTTGTTACTTTTCCTTGTCCGGGGCATAACTTGAACACTACTGGTTGGAATTCGAAACAACTTCATACAATTGTCAAACACAATAAGGGGAAGTGCATTGCACAAGAACCATAACTCTATCTAAAGTAATTACAGAGTTATTGCCCTTTGTTACTTTTCCATTGCTTTCTTTTGTCCGGACCATAACTTGAAGACTAATGGTTGGAATTCAATATAACTACATACAATGGTCAAGCACATTGAGAGGAAGTGCAGTGCACAAGAACCATAACTCTATCTTGACTAATTACAGAGTTACTGCCCTTTGTTACTTTTCCTTGTCCGGGGCATAACTTGAACACTACTGGTTGGAATTCAAAACAACTTCATACAATTTTCAAACACAGTAAGGGGAAGTGCAGTGCATAAGAACCATAACTCTATCTAAAGTTATTACAGAGTTATTGCCCTTTGTTACTTTTCCATTGCTTTCTTTTGTCCGGAGTATAACTTGAAGACTAATTGTTGGAATTCATTATAACTTCATACAATGGTCAAGCACATTGAGAGGAAGTGCAGTGCACAAAAACCATAACTCCATCTTGACTAATTACAGAGTTACTGCCCTTTGTTACTTTTCCATTGCTATTTTTTGTCCGGAGCATAACTTGAAGACTAATTGTTTGGAATTCAATATAACTTCATACAATGGTCAAGCACATTGAGAGGAAGTGCAGTGCACAAGAACCATAACTCCATCTTGACAAATTACAGAGTTATTGCCCATTGTTACTTTTCCTTGTCCAGAGCATTACTTGAAAACTACTGTTTGGAATTCAATACAACTTCATACAGTTGTCAAGGACATTAAAAGGAAGTGCAGTGCATAAGAGCCATAACTTCATTTTGACAAAAAACAGAGTTACTGCCCTTTGATACTTTTCCTTGTCTGGAGCATAACTTAAAACGTACTGGTTGAAATTCAAAACAACTTCATACAATGGTCAAGCACAAAAAGAGGAAGTGCAGTGCACAAGAACTATAACTCCATCTTCAGTATTTATAGAGTTATTGCCTTTTGTTCCTTTTCTTTGTCTTTCTGGACTTATTACAGAGTAATTCAATAAAACTTCATCAATGGCCAACCACATTGAAAGGAAATGCAATACACAAGAACCACAACTATCTTTAATTGCCCACAACCATAACTCTATATTTCAATTCTTTTACAAGATATTCTGTTACTAGTAACATCCTCATTTCCGAAGCAGTCTTGTGGGGGTATTAATCACATTTAGTGATAGTTCTAGTTTGTGATTTGTTTCTTTATTTTACAGTGAAACCAAGGCTACCATACACTGAACCAAGATTGAAAGAACTTACACCAGAATCTGTCCAGTTATCTTGGGGATCAGCAGAACTTCCGGCTTACCAGAGGAAACAATCGCCTATTCACTACAAGGTTGAAATGGCTGAACTACCATCCAGTAACTGGGTTCCGGTGGCAAGACGTGTACCAGAAACAATGTTCAATGTGACCGGTCTGAGACCGAACCAGGAATACAAGTTCCGAGTCTTTGCTGAATCAGATAGTGGTTTAAGTGAACCAAGTATGCCAGTGACACTGTACAGAAAACCAGGTACCTGTTTATTGTTCATCTTTGTTAAAACAGCCTGGATTAAGTCAATTAAAGTTACCAAAAAGAAGAATACGCCACTAGTATTCATCTTAACCAACATTTACTTCTTTTATTGCTCAACTAGTTTATTGGTTTCTTTTTGTGTCGCCTCTACAGAGTTCTGGATCAATGATATTTGTCAGAGTTATGGCCCTTGAATGATTTTTACTTTTAAAATTTGTCCAGACTACTCTTAGACTACTAATGCAATTTCAATGAATCTTTACAGGACTGATCGGTAGCTCAAGTACTATGCAAGTTATGGCCCTTGAAAAAAAAACGCGTATTGCCCTGTGAATATTTTTGTCTCCTGCTACACAGTTGCTGCAACATGCATTTGGCATCAGGAGGTGACACATGTGATCACTTATTGCTCTTGTTTGTTTCAATGTTTTTAAATACCTCTCCAAGAAGATGAATGAAATTTACAAAGCTAGTTTAAGAAAGTGTATTGAACCTTTTGCCACTTTTTAGCTCTACTTTTCAAAGAAAAAAAGAGGATCTATTATCATGACCCTCTTGTTTGTGTCAGCATTGGCGCTGGTGTTAACCTTTTTGTTAATGACCACTTTATGAGAAAGTATAATAAAAGCCATTCACTTCAAACTTGGTATATTTGTTTATTGTCATAAAAGAATGCCATTTTTAAGGGACCATTTTCAAGGGGCAGAGTATCCTAAAAATATTTTATGCAAAATTATGCCCCTTTTTCAATTCAGTTTAATAGCCCTGGTTAACTTTTTTGTTAATGTCCATTTTCTCAGCAACTATCAGAGTTATTCGCTTCAAATTTGATATACATTTCACTTTCATTGTGACAATATTTCAGAAGGGTAGATAATCGTGAATTTAATTTTTGCAGTTATGCCTCTTTTTTACATATTTTGATTTCTTCTTAGGTCAACTAGCCAAAAACTTTTATAATTAGTCATTTAAAACTTGAAATACTTGTTCAGTTTTTGAATTAGAATGCATTTCTAAAAGGTAGATAAGTTTATAATACATATTTTCTTTTTGTCAAGTTACATTTCATAAAAAGTATCAAAGATATTTACTTTAAACTTGGAGTTCTTGTTTACTATTAAATTTGAAATACATTTCTAAGGACAGATAATCCTGAAAGTCATGTTTGCTTAATTTTCCTTTTATTTCCTTGAATATTTGTGTTTTTTCTTACTTATTCACTTTAAACTTGAAATATTTGCTTCCTATCAAGAGCAGGTAAGTCTGCTAAGCATGTTTGCAGAATTATGTCCCTTTGCTTTTATGTAAACTATCCAGCACTGAGAAAAATTGAGCCCCCTGTCTGCTGACAGGTCTTGTTTTTAAATTATGTTATTTTCATTGTTTTTCTTTTTTTTCCAGCTCCTAAGTTCATTTTGAAAGAGCCATCAATCCGTGACATTTCTCAGAATGTCGTTCAGTTGACATGGACCCCGGCAGATTTCCCGGACAGCACGGAGAGTGTTTCATACATGGTTGAAATGCAAACTCCACCAGGAATCTCTACATGGAGTACACTGTACAGAAAACACCCATCGCCAAGTGTTCGCCTTGCAGACCTAAGACCTGATTTGGATTATCTGGTGCGTGTACGTGCGCAGTGTGGATCGTACCTAAGTGAACCGACTCTGCCCGTGTACATACCGAGACGTGCTGGTAAGTGATCTATAGGGTTTGAAAAAACTAGAAATATATATGGAAAATTATTCTATTAATGAAGTGTCAAGACATGAAATTTAATTATCATAACAATTATCATGAAATTATCACTTTCAAGTTGGAAATAAGGAAAATTTCATGGAAATATTATCCGATTTTAATACACAATTAAAAACATATTTCAATCAATGCAAATAATTAAACCATGCAAAATAATTTTTTTTCACTGAAATTTTTATTCCATATGAATTGAGTAAGCTAAGCACAGCTACAATGTATTTTTTTATAAAGAACCGTTTGCTATTCTATTTTCTCTAATTGTTTAAACTTAATCAGTATATGAGAAATGAAAGAAAATTAAACAATCAAATACATATTACAGAAGTACTTGAAAAAGGAAGATGATGTCTTAAAAAAATAAAGCATGTTTAAAAATCATGATAATCTCCCTTGTATATGTTGTATTATTTACCCACAGCTCCACCAAGACTTCCAGTAGAGGAACCTTACGCTATCGACATCAGTGACGACTATGTGAAACTACAGTGGCGCTCTGCCGAGTTACCCACACACATACAAGACTACGCTCCAGTTACCTACAGGTATTCTAGCCTGATTCTACTATGAACCCATGATTTAAAGATAATCTAAAATGATGGCCACAGTATCCATAACTTTAGGTATCTTTTTACAGAGTTATGCCCCTTTTCTTATTGTCGAGCACCAAGAATAGTTGAGGATGCTGTCTAACTGAGAGCTCTTGTTTATTTTAAAATGATAATTTATTTGATAACTTGATAATACTTTCAAAATGATCTAAAGCTTAAAAAAAATTGAGCTTTACCATGAATTAAAAGAAATGAAATTTTTTTAGATTGGAAGCACAAGAATTTCCTGATACCAACTGGGTAGCAATTTCACGTGGTATCCCACACACAGACTTCAAGGTTACAGGTTTGAACCCAAAGAAGGACTACAGTTTCAGAATAAGAGCAGAGAATGAGTATGGACTTAGTGACCCCACCCACCCAATGACTATTAGGAAAAGATCAGGTAAAGGGGATCTACTTCATGAAGTATTAAAAACATGGGTAAGGGAGGCAACTTATGAGGTATTAGGGAGGTAACTTGTATGGTATTAAAATGCATAAGGGAGCTAACTTACAAGTTAAATTAATATAATTGAGGTAAATTATGAGGTATTTATTAAAATAATAAGGGAGGTAATTTGTATGATATCAAATGAGGTATATTATTGAGTTAAGTAAAAAATAGTAATGGATGTAACTTCTGGGATATTAAAATACATAAGGGAGCTAACTTATGAGTAAATATGATAAAATTTGTAAACTAGTTACAAACCATCCTGATGTTTGATGTGTGTTCTCTCCTCTTGATTTACTTGTTAATATAATTGAGGTAAAAAAGAAGTATTAAAATAGGTACGGGAACTAATTTATGAGGTATTAAAAATAGATAAGACAGCTAATTTTTGGGGTATAAAAAAAACAAGCAAGTAAGGGAGATAACTATTCTGTATTATAATATACAGATCAGAGAAAACAGCTTTACAAAATATAAGATGATGTTAGAGACTTCCTGTATGTCTAAACTACTTAGAACTAGAATTTTGTCATATTTCAGCGTCAGATGACAAAACCCTTTGCAAGTCAGTTATATTGACTACACTAGCAATAGGTTTCCTGTCATCATAATTCTGTGTCAAACAATTGCATGTGCTTATCTTTAATTATTTGCTTAGAAGAATGAATAATGGTGAATCTATAACTAAGGTTTTCATCCAGTGAAGCTGGAAAGTCACCGTAAATGTGACTTTTACAGTGTTGATGTTACTTTTAATCAAATATTTCTATCTGATATTCTATAAAATTTATTCACAGAGTTTCAGAACTCTTATTTTTATTTACTTTTTTTAAAGGTAGCCAAATCTTAATTTTGTAAATTTTAATACAAGCAAAATTGAATAAAAGTATTAAATATCTAATACTTCATTTAACTTGCAGTTGCCCCAGTACTTCCAACATCTGAGCCGCTGCTGTACGATGTTGGACCGGGTTCCGCAAGGCTCTCTTGGCGCCCGGCAACACTTCCATCTTTTGCCCCTTCACAATCTTCGATCACCTACACGCTTTTCGTACAAGAGCTCCCCTTCAAGACTTGGCGTCCATTGGTGAAGAGAATACCCCATACTTCCTATTACGTCTCTGGGCTTCAGCCAGATAAAGAATACATGTTTAGGGTGCAAGCCGAGAACCAGTTCGGAAGTAGTAAACCAACCGAATCAGTCCTTCTGCAAAGATTTAAAGGTAAGATGGCAAAAAATATGATTTTGAAAAAAAAAAAAATCTTGTCATCCATTTAAATAGTAGTTATTTTTGCGTTTAAATGTCAAAGAACTGCAGATTGTTTGCATTTTTAACCGATCCAAGGGAAAGAACTAGTAATTAGGTTGAATTGATGTCAGTGTAAATCATTTCTTTTTTGCTGAACTCCTTCATTTCTCAAGGGATTTCGACCTAATTATCACAGCCGCCAGCGTGTTGCCAGTTGGTGCTGAAATCGATGCAGTTTGACTATACTCTATACTATTTCCTGCTCAGTTTTCATGTGTTGTGACTTATAATTATTAATTTTACTAGTACATGTATTGCTTAAGATATTCCAGATTGAAAAGCAGGGCAAGTAAATTGCTCATATTGATCAAGATGCAGGTTAAAGACGCCTCATCGTGATTTTTTTTATGAAAAGAAACAGTTTATTACACCAAGATGACTCAGTTCACAGAGATTGATGTACAGTTAACTGAATGATATACCACTTATAAAGATATACCATGTATAACAATTTACCACTTATAAAGATATACAACTTAAAACAATATACCACTTATAACAATATACCACTTTTGAAGATATACCACTTATAATGATACTGTTGCGTCAGTCCTGACTCTTGTTTTTAAAGTGGTTGCCGATATCCAGATACAACGATACAATTTAGAGGGCTTCTGAATATCATTATAAGCAGAGTTTATCATATAATGCTCAGAATGATTCTATTTAATAGTATGCCAGTTCTTCTTGAAACAAACCTACATTTTCAATACATTTCTTAGATTTCAAACGACCAGTTTCGGTACCTGAGGTCTCTGATTTCGATGAGGACTTGACATCTGTGAAGCTCCGTTGGTCACCGACCAGACTCAGTCCTCCTTTCGACACATCACCTAGAAAGTACACCGTGGAGACCTGGGAACCAGTGCGCCGGGAATGGAAACCAGTCGCTCGTGGAATACGGGATACAACATACCAGATCCGAGAATTGCCAAAGTTGCCGGACCATTTATTCCGAGTCCGAATGGAAACAGAAGAGGCTTGTTTGAGTGAACCTTCACTTCCAGTCTCCTTCAGTAGATACAGTAAGATAAATTTCATAAATAAATGTTTAAATAAATGTTTAAATACAGTGTTTCTAGGTAAAAGAAAAATCATTATAATTATGTACAATGTTTATATAGCATTCTTTTCATCTGTAAATTAAACACAATTGAATTTAAAAAAATTGTTTTGATATAGCCAGTTACCAAACTCAAGTAACCAAACTCAAGTCTCTAGATAGTACTTCCAGTATAGAAACCTCTAATGTGCAGACAGACTGAATTCAGTGCGTGAGGGTCGTTGGTAAAGTCTGCCGGTCAGAAAAAATGATGTTGCCATGCAACATTAAGGATCGTGTCCTCTGACCCCCACATACGGCTATATACATGTAATAATTAAATCACATTAGGTATGATAAAAATAAGTATATTTGTACATGTACTACATTTTGTGAAATATATGTTTCATGTAAAGGATTACCAAGAGCGCCAATGTACAGACCACAGTTGTACGAGGTTGACGACGAGTCTGTGAGGTTGTCATGGCAACCAGTACACGTACCTGAGGGTGTTTCCCGGCGATCTGTCAGGTAATAGTTCAAAAAGTAAGGTTGTCAACTTAATGAAAAGGGTGGCAAACTGACTCAATCATGCTTAAGTGTTAGGGGTTGCTTGGAACTTGGAAAAGGATAATGATTGTACATAACAAATCAAGATCTTTAACTCTAGACAATTGATATTACCTTACTGAATTGTCCCCCTTTGTTAACATAGAAAATTGTTGATTAAGTTTTTTGTTGTTGTTTTTTTTGGTGCAATTTCCATAAGCAAAGCTACTGATGTTATTCATTTTAACTTAGCATTGGCCTTTAGGACAGCTGCATGGATTTTAACTTAATTATAACTTGATAGATACTTTGATATGTAAATTCTTAAAGCAGCATGCCTCCAGATTCAGGCTAAATTTCAATAAGAATTTTGAAAATGTATTTAAAAAGTAAAATATAGTGATGTGAACAAAGAAAGTAATGTACACATTGCAAACAGCACTTTGTCTTAAAATCTACATAAATTACCAAAAAAAGTTTGATTGATTTGACTACTAAAATAGGTACAAAATCAGTAATCAAGACACTGTCACACCCCATATTTCTTTTGCTTGTCATCCATTTATTGTTTACCAAAAAAAGGTCAAAATAAGCAAAAATTGCCCCTATTTTGTTAGATAGCAGTAGAAATACAGTTATAGAAACTGCAAAATCTGTCATTTATTGCATATAGCATGTAAATCATTACTAAATATTATTTTTCTTCAATACTTAGTATGTTACACTTTTTTCGAGTTGATTTTATTGAAATATTTTGGCTCATCTGGAGGCATGCCGTTTTAATAGAGAATGTCATCTATTCATGGTGCTAATAGTTAAATATTAGTGCATTAAAAAAAAAAATTCAAGATTAATTTAGCATATAATTTATGTTTCACCAACATAAGAAATCCTACTCAGTACTGTACTTGTACCAACATAATGTATAAACTAGACCAATTTGAAATGAGTTGGAATAATAACAAAATCTGTGTATCTTAAGTTTAATCTGTAGTTTAATTACATAAATTTTTTAGGGTTACAGGTCAAATTTTAAATTGGGGGAAAGAAAGGTAGTTTAAATTAATATATAATTGGGTGTCCTCATTTCAACCCAATCTTTGACTCAACACCATTTTATTTTCTTAACTCTTATGAAATGTTCATTTCAGCAGATCAAAATCATTCTTTTTTTGTTTGTCACAACATAATTTTATTTTAGATACATGTATTAGCATATCTCTGTCAACATACTGTTTTGATTCAAAACTTGTACAAAAAAAATGCTAAGGGTGTTGTGTCATGGTCAATAAGTGGTATTTGAAATTTTGCAGGTACACAATTGAACAACGCGAAATTCCCGAGCCTCACTGGTCTCCAGTAGCAACAGACGTAATGGAGACAAGTTACAAGGTCAGAGGTCTTCGCATGAAACATGACTACGAGTTTCGTGTAAAAGCGACGTATGACGGAACGTCCACGGAACCTTCATACCCTGTGTCTTTGTACAGGAGAGCTGGTAAATAATAGGATTTTCATTTATTTGTCCGTCTGCCTAGCGCAACAGGGAGAGATCTGGGTTAGTAATCCGGGTGTCACTGTTTGATCCTCTGGCAAGGCATATTTTCTCCATGATTGGATATTGAGTCTAATGGTCATTTATCTCTCACGGCTGATTCAGATATTATGTGATATAAGTAGTCGGTCACTTGTTCACAATTTGGTAATTGCTGATTATTTATACAGAAAAGTAGATAGGTGGATCTACCTCCCAGATATGACTAAAAACTGGTGTAAAATTTGGTGTTTAATCCAGAAAACAAACAGAACAAAATAAACATACCTGATTTTCTCTAAACAGTATGTATTGTATAATATTGTATAAATTACATTTTTATGATGAACATTTTTGCTAAGGTTTGCTAGTTCTCATTTTGTTATTGGTGAAAAACAACAAACAACAAAAAACAACAGATGTACTCCTTCAATTGATTAGCTGTATATGCTGTTTTTGTTTTAAGGGGAAGTTGTTTTATAACTCAAAGCATGGTCATTGTTATGAATATTAAGTAGTTTTTATGTGTAATTTATTTAGTATTGTGGGAAAATGATTGATATAAATTTTAGCTCTGTATTTAAATTACATGTTTTCAATGGCCAGCTTTATTTGTTTGTTTGTTTTGGGTTTTACGTCACATCGACACAGTATAGGTCATATCGCGACGTTCCAGCTTTAATGGTGGAGGAAGACCTCAGGTGCCCTTCCGTGCATTATTTCAGGCACAAACGGGCACCTGAGTAGAACCACCAACGTTCCATAAGCTAGCTGGATAGCTTCCTCACATGAAAGAATCCAAAGTCCCTGTTGGGATTCGAACCCACAGCGGTGAGGGGCAAGTGGTTTGAAGTCAACAACCACTCGGCCACGGACGCCCCCACCAGCTTTATTTAAATTACATACTGACATTCACTTACATATATTTCAGTAATACCGACCGTGAGATTTGATGCACCAGAGGTGTACGATGTCGACGACACATCTCTGTCCTTGCGCTGGAATACCGTCGATGTTCCTGCGTTCACTCGCGACGAAGAACCTCTGATGTTTGTAATTGAACGTCAAACTCTACCGAGTTACGAGTGGCAATCTGTCGCCACTAACGTTGAAGACAAAAGTTACACTGTGCGAGATTTGGAACCGTACCAAGATTACAACTTCCGTGTACGTGGCATTTATCCGTCTGGCTACACTGAACCATCGCCATATGTTCCGGTTTATCGCCGTCCAAGTGAGTCTAAGATAGGATTAGTTGGTTTAGAAAGTAGTACAATAGAATATAAGAGTTACGGTAGTCAGAAATATTCCTCCAAATCTGCGACCCCTCAAAAGGTCTTACCCACACAAAAACTGCATGCATCTGTCCCTGCTACGGAATTATCTGCTGTTACTAGGAAAGGTATTGAAACTAGGTTAAGATCTTACGGAAGTTCACCACAGAGGCGATACTCTGTAGCAAACATTTACGACACAAAAGAGGTATACACAAAAGAAGCAGAGTTTAAGCCAACTCCTCTGGCCCCAATGCCGGAAGCAAGATTCAAACTAGAAAATGCATATGTTTATAAAAGGTCAAGGTCACCTGTAAAGGTTGAACTGCCTACACAGTATGATACTTTGAAAACAGGAGAGAGTAAAAAGGTTACACACAAGAAAGAGTATGATTTATATGATTGGTATAGACAATTACATAAAAGGTACAGTGATGTTGGTATTGAAGAACTGACCCGAAGAAAGTCAAGAAAATCCCAGTACATGCTTGGGAAGGTTCTGGAACAAAGAAGAGCCGAACTTGTTCTCGAGGCACAAAATAGAAGACACGCAAAGAGAGCAAGTGTGCCAACAATATCACCACATGTTTCTCGTCCAACTGAGGTGTCTCTAGGATACGCCTCTGTTGCCGACAGATACGAGGATATCAAATGCCCATACATTATCAGTCCTGGTCACTGGAGGTTTGCCAGAAGACATTCAATAGCACTTGACTGGGAGGATCTTCAGAGGCTTCAACGACAACTGAAGATTGAGTCAGGTAAATTAGAGGCCAAGAGAAGATCTCGCTCTGAAAAACCCAAGTGGTTTAATCCAAAGTATGACTTTATTTCACAATCACAAGATGAATATTTCGGGGGAACATATTTCCATGTTGAAGATCAGTTAAACTTCAATGATATGAGGCCAAGAATACCACAAGTTTTCACGACTCCGTATGTGAGGAGATCTCTTTCACAAGAGCGTGACCCTGGGTACTTCATGATTTCCAAATTTGCATTGTCAGTTTCTGGTGTTAAGAAGGACAGACCAGTAGGCAAGGCAACAAGATCCTCTGTCAGACCAGTCTCTTTGGAACCAAGTCCTGTTGCCAGGTTACCAAGACAATATAGGTCATACACCCCAGATTATAGGTCATATGTACCTGAATACAGGTCATACACTCCTGAATATAGGTCAGTTAGATCTGAATATAGGTCATATACACCTGAATATAGGTCATACACACCAGAATATAGGTCATATACACTAGATTACAGATCCTACTCTCCAGAGCAAAGGTCACTACCAAAGACAAGGTCAATGACCCCTGACTATTATTATTATTATGATGAAAGTTCAAGGTCACAAACACCTGAGTATCCTGACCTTGATAAACTTAAACAGAGGTCACAATCACTTGCACAAGAACTTGCAAGGTCTAAACTCTATGGCTCTGGGTATAGACCAGGGTCAAGGTCATCTTCAGAAAGGCCAGAAAGACAGACATCCTCAACAAAGCCAGTAAGGAAACCTTCACCTCCAAGACAAAAGGAGGCATTTGTTAAACCAAGGTCATACTCTATATCTGTCCCAAGGGCAGAGATGAAAAAATTTAACAGAATTATTGAGGATTCCAAATCAATTATCACAAACTATACAAGACTTGATGAAAAAGCTAGGGCAGCAAGTGTTGCCAAAGGAACCAGTAGAACAGGTTCTGTTGCAGATATTAGGTCTGACCCACGTTATTCCTCTACTCCAAGAGGTAGTATGTCAGGGCAACATTCTGATGTACATTCAGACCCACGATACTCATCAACCCCAAGAGGTAGTATGTCTGCACAGCACAGTGAAGTGCGGGCAGACCCTCGATACACTTCCACTCCAAGAGGTAGTGTTTCGGCACCTCGTGTTGATGTGAAAGCAGACCCACGTTACAGCAGAACAAGAAAATCAAGCGTTGTCATGAGTCAGGCTGAGAGAGAACGATTGTCATCAATATCTGCTATAAAGTCCGATGCTAGGTTCTCGGCTCAAAGAAGGGCAACCATTGCTACAAATGAAGACTTGAAGTCCAAGTTAGACACACTGACATCCTCTTTATCTGTACCTAAACCGAAGAAAAGGAAGTCGTCTCGTCCAGTGATCAAATTCAAGTCGTCAAGAGGAGAAGGTGCACTGTAAATGGAACAGCAATTAAATTGGAATAGCAATTAAAGCAAAATTACCATCATGATCATTAGGGACTTGAAAATAAATCATAATTTAAATATTGAAATATGGTGTTGAAATAACATTAAATATTCTTAAAAAATGTAGTACATCAGAGGCCCTTTTTTTCAAACCTTTGGCTGGAAAACTTCAATAAAAAAATGATGTTGATATGAAATAACGAAAAGTTACAAAAGACAATATATTGGATAATATAGAAAGTGTAAAAAAAATGAGATGTTGAAATGTTTGTTGACATATTTGTTAGAATAACTGAAATTGTAAATATTTAAAGGGAGATTGTATGAACAGTCAACAATGTTAATATATAACTATAATGGGACAAAATGTGCTAATTGAAATATATAATTGTTAATTAATTAACTAATTTAGACAATGTTTGTGGTGATTTAGGTGGTAGGATTATTGTAAAGATTTCAGTTCGTGTTATTCATATTAAAATAGAAGTTTGAAGATTTTTACCCATGGAGACCTTGTCTGGATGAAGAAGAGATTTTTGCTTGCTGATTTTATTGGACTGTATGGATAAAGAGCTTAGTTTTGAATTTGGAATTTGCATCTTTTTTTTTTTTCGGATATTTTCCATGCAGTACATGGCTTAGCATTTCCTCGTGTAAAATCAGTCATTCAAACGTTACACAATCTGTTTGTTATTAAACAACAGTGTTTTGTTAAATTAGCAAAGATTTATTTTAAAAGGCAATGCCATGCAATGCAATGAAATGGAAAAAAATTGAAAGCCAAAATGTCTGATTCAAATATTTCATTTTTGTATTTTGAAATATTTGATTATATCAGAATCATTAAAGTAAAGTTCAAAGTTGGTTATTGGAATTATCAAATTGAAAATAAGCTTGAAGTGAATCGCATATTAATGTGTGGTACAGGAGTGGTTATTTTTCCTGGATTTCCGGACCTTAAGGTTTCATGGGCTTGTTATTGGTTGAACATTGAAAGTTTTCCAAAAAGAAAATGTTATCAAAGCTTTTCCTGTGTGCTTTGTATGCTTTGAAGTGATGGATATTTAAAATACTGAGTTATGCCATCTGTGGTGTGTCCCATAGTGATTTATTACAGAATTCTACAAACTAGGGCATTAGCGAATTCCTTTTGCATGACTTATGTTTGTATTTTTATATGTTTTGAGGATTTAAATTATATTCTGCATACTAGCTCATGTATACGAAGTTTTGGGATATAAAAATTAAATCACCACCTCTGTTTGCCTTTATTTGCCTTCATAATCAGTAAATTGTTTTTAAATATTGATGTGCAATAATTGGTTTACCTAAAACTCATGATAAAAATTTAGAAGTTTGTGAAGTTGTTTATAACTTATAGAGGTGTAAGGCAAGGAGTTTTACTTTCTCCTACCTTATTAAGACTCAAAAGGGGAATAATTCTGACTACCACTATTTTGTTATGAATACTTGTGTATTTAATTTGTTTTATTGTAGAAATTCGATATGGCCTTTTGAAATGTCATTTCTTGTTACACTTAACAGTTCTGTTAAGAAACATGTTTCTTTTTATATATAAATTTTTTGTTAAAGTTTTTTATTATTCAAGAATTTCCACTTGTTTATTTGTTTCCTCTTTTTTTTCTCACAAATGCTTTAATGTTACTTTACTCCCCCTGTGATATGACCAGTATTAGGTGCAATGTTTACAATGATATAATCCTTTGTAGTATGGTAAATGTATGAGAATGTTTCTTGTTTGAAGCTTACTTTTTTTGTCAATTTTATTGTCATATACCTCACCTGAAAGTGCAATATTACCCCCAAGTGCCAAATATATATTTATTTGTAATGCTATATAGAGATAGAAGAAGAATTATGCACAAAAATTATCTCCCTTTTAAAGCAAAAATTAATTATGTGCAATTTTCAGATTTTAACCGCCATTGCCTAGGTTTAGTGCTTAAAATTTTCAATGTCAAAAGTGTCTTATCCAAATCATGTACATTCTAGGTTCTCATATTTGTTTTTTCTTTGTTTTCCATAGTAGTGCTTTAAGATAAATGATTGTCCTTTTGACAGAGTCTACTTTGACTGTACATGAAGAGTGACTGTCAGTGTTATTAAACAGTACTGTTTTTAGAACATTCCCATATTATTATTCTCTTTGTCACGATTGTGTATTTCACCATGTTAATACTGTTATATGCACTGCATTTTACTAGTTATTTCACTGATTTATTGATGTATCTTTTAACAATAACTACAACTAGACATGTATCAATATTTATATATATTAGTTGTTACTAAGCTATCACATGTATTGTTAATGACATTACTTAAACTATAGGAGAGTGACATGCTGTTTTAAATGTTTAAACAAGGTTTAAGTTAATGTATTAAAAAAAAGTTTGCAAACCATTCAAATTTCAATTTTATGATTGGTCATTTATGATTGGTCGGTTTCAAATTTTTGATTTTTGAAATCGACTAATCAGGAGACAAACATTTATTTCTATTTATATAAGCCAATCATAAGCAAGAACCTGATATTGTTTTTGTTCTATTCAACCAATCGCACTGCAGAGTTTTAGACTGATCGCCAAAATGAAGCAATGAAAGCACCTAACACTTTTCTGAAATATTTAAAACAGCATAATTGTAAATTGATAAAAAGAAATGTACTAATCAACACTGAGTAAAAAGTCTAACTTTCTTTTTACATACACACAAGTCCTTGCCCATTTAGGAAGAATACTACATAATTATGTGTAATTTTTGTACTGGGTTCAGTTTTTTTCCAATTCAAAACTGACAATTCTTTTTTTGTGTGCAAAATTGAAAGTTACATTGTATTTTATTCAGTTTTAAATGTACTTCTGCACATAAGTTATTTATGTACTTCTGCACTTATATTATCTATGATTTAGTGACATATCATTTTTATATTCTGATAACGTTTAGAGCATGTTAAAACAGAAAGCAAATTCAATGCACATAATAAAACAACAATATTTGCCCAGTCTAAATTTTAAGCTCTTTCATTGGCCAATTTCAAATCTGGTTTTTCAAAATCAAACCAATCAAATGCTTTGATTTGAATTTGGATGTAAACAAACTTTGATTTTGTAGCTGTAATTCCTTTTAAAAATTGGCTGATAATAAAGAAAAAGGAAAAAAATATTTGTACTGTACACGGTATTGAATGTGAGATAAAATTTACATTTATTAAGTGCATTAGAAAGAATATCTGAGCTAATATTGATAATTTACAATCATTTAGTGTATATTATTATATATATATATTAGATATCAAATACTTAATCTTCTTGTAATTTATCTGATAACTTCACACATATATGTTGTTATTGAAAATTAACCGGCACTTAGTTAAGATATTAAATAATAAACCTATGGAAGGCTCTAATGGGACTTGTCATTTCAACTAGGCTTAATGTATGATAATAAAATGAGGCGAGGAAAGTTTAAAAGCCATCCTGTGGATAAAGTCTGTTTGAAATGACAAGAAGTGTAAAAATTCATTTCATCACATGATGATATTACACAGTCTGGCTGAAAAAAAAACCTGACATAAAGACGTAGAAAAAAATGGGGGCATAAAACATAGAAAAAAAAATGGCAACAGCTTGACATGCACCATTCTTTAAAGTGACTCGGCCCATTTTCTTTTGAATTTGCTAAGATTTATATTTGGACCAGACCATTCAAAGTTGTTAAGGGATTTCAATCTGGCAAATTTCTAAAATTGAGAAATGAACCTTATAGATAAAGCCTAGCCAAAGACTGCACAGTGGCAAAGGATTATCACTTTTCGGTCCAGTAGAAAAAAATGGTTAAAGTATGTGGTGATTATATTACTATGAAAACAAGGCACGTCATGTGATAAATGTATTTTAATGTTATATAAATTAACAGTTTTTAATATTCTTTGATATTTTAAAAAAATGAAAATAATGTCTTTAGCATGATAGCAAAATCTAATCGTAATTATTATTTGACATGAACTAATATTATACATATACATATAATTACATATTACAGGTTTTAATACTGTGAAATCATTTTAATTTGTGGGCCTAAAATTTCTTGATTTGCTGACAAAAAGCAATGTCGTTAGGTCTTAAATTCATGGAATTCAGTTGCCAGATAAAAAAATATGTGGCAGTAAATTTGATCGTCGGGGCTTTAATAATTTCGTGGTTGACCTAAACCATGAAATCCACGGAAAAAATCAAACCGCGGCAAATAATAATGATTTCACAGTATCTAGAAATATTAATATAAAAAGAATTAAATATGTATTATCAGAATGGATTTGTATAATAGAAAGTAGAAGAACGGCATGCTTTGTAATTATAATATTATATGTAATAAAAGTAGAACACCAGTTGAACACATTGTTGTGTTGTTTTTTATTTACTTTTTTATACACGCTTTATAGAAAAACATATATATAATACATAGCGCAAAAATCCCCAAGTTTCTTATTGAATGGTAGCATTATGAACAATATCTAACTTAGACAAATAGTTTGCCTGGTTTTGAATATATAAATAAATGGATATTTAATTTTGGACAAGATATGTGCAATAATGCATTTAGATAATTATTTGTGCAAATAAATCACGAAAAATTTGTGCAAATAAATGAAATAAAATCACAGAAATTTGCGCAAATAAATCATGAATGTGCAAATCATGAAAATTTGTGCAAATAAATCAAAAACATTTGTGCAAAAAATGGTTAACTTGTGCTCAATATTATATTTAAAGAATTTAATATGCAGGAACTGTGAAATTTGTGTAAAATTGTTGAAATTTGTACAAAAGTAGCTTTTTGTGTGTGCAAAAGTGAAATGATTGTTGCAAAACTCATTTGATTTAATTTATACAGAATTATTTTAATTTGAATCTGAAGGAAACTACAGTATAAGCTTATAGACACATTCTCACATCCGTTTCTGGAACCAACCTCAACGAGTACTAATCTATAGGGTTAGTGTTTCTTTCTCAAGGAAACAACAACTTGCCGCTGATGGAGTTTGAATCCGCTTGATCAGAAATTCTTCAATTACTACTCGTACGACTTAACCACTTGGCCATGCCTCCTATGACTTGTCAAAATTGTTTCATTTGTGTCATTAGTTAGTCTGTATTTTCTAAAAATAAATTAATTTTGCTGTTTAATTGTATCTTATTCAACATTGGAAGATATCAATAGTAACAAATTTGAGGTCAAAGGTCAGGTGAAAAAAATATTTTATTCAAGATCAGAGAGAAGAATGCACATTAAGGCTCAGAAACAAATAAATTTTTACTTTTTTAGAAAGTGAATACATTAATTTTATAATGTTAAAATAATGGTTTTAGAGAATGCTAGATTTTGGTACATATGATGAATGCTGGATAACTATGCTTACATTTTCAACAAAACTGACAAAATGCCAAAATTTTAACATAATGGATAGTCATTGTAAAGAGTTGGTCTTAAAAGGAAGGTGAATTTATACCTTTTCAAATCTAAAGGATTGTAACTTTTACCTAAGTACAGTTTTTTACCAAGGTTATTTGCCTTAGTTTATAACTGAAGATTCATTTAATTTCCAATAGATTTAAGAGCATCAAATATGTTATCCAGGAGATACTTGTTTGATCCTCGGAGAAGACAAAATGTGTCTGTGACTGATCTTGGACATAAGAGTCTTACAGTCATTTATCTCTCATTGCTAGGTCAGAAATCATACAGAATTTGTAGTCGGTACTTGCAGAGGGATTAGTAATTACTGGTTTAGTTATTCAGGAAAGCTGGTAAGGTTGTGTGACTGCAGAGATATGACCAAACCATATGGGTAAATTGGCATAAAAACCAGTTTAACTAACAAACAAATAACCCTTAACATATAACCTTGACATAGATCAGATAGCAGTGTTTTTACCATGGCTGTCAGATATTTCTCTATCTGTTGGTCATGCTACCTGTATGACTAAGTTCTTTACAGGAAAAATAATCTGCAGTTTAAAAAAAATCCACCAATGATGCCATGACCATTGACCTGTGGCAGTGCTTTTTTGCACAGGTATTTTTGGTCCCTTTTAGATCATAAATAATGTTTTGGTAACTGCAGTAGGCAAGCATTTTGGGAAATATCCATCCCGCTTAACCCTTTTCCCCATGAGCATATTGTGAAAAATGGCCATTTTCACTGAAAAGCCTCCTCTTACAAGTTCAAACTGCTATGAAACTATGAAAAATGCTTCAATACGAACCAAACTTGGCACAAAAAGTGCTCACTTTTTTAAGCAACATTTCTCAAACTAAAACATGTGTTTGGGGCCCAAATAGGACATTTTTTCACTATTTCAGGCCTAAAAAAGGGGGGGGGGGGGTCCAAAGTGCGTTGTTTCGCGTATATATGAGGTAAAGGGTTAAGAAACTGGTTGCACCTGGAAGCAGGTTAAATTAATAAATTTAACAAGACTGACCAAGAAGTTGAAGTTCAATTATTATTCTGCTGCTACCTAACCACAAGGTTTTATGACAAAACATTTTGTTTGTACTTAAAGATATAATCTTTTAACCTAGGAGCTGTCATGGTCTGAATGTGAGTGTTAGCACAATTTTAAGATTCATATTTTTGAATATTATAATTATCAGGTATCACTTATGAATTTTTGCCATGAGGATTAGATTTTTTGCAATTTCTTACACATAATACCTGTATTTCTTAATGTATTCAAGCAATTATTTGTGGCAGAATTCTCTACATTGCTATCATGTGATTGTATTAAGTGCTTCCATCATGGATTTACAGTCAAACCTGTGAACATAGGTCACCTGAAGGAGAGACCAAACATGGCCTTTACAGACAAGTGGTTACTTTTTAGGGGTAGCTATATTCTGTTAAATCAATGAATGGTTGTTGAAAGATGGTCTTTAGTTACATGGTTACAATTGCAAACAAAGGTCTTCTAAAGGAGATACCATTAAGATTGGCCTTTATAAACAAGTGATCTTTTTTATTATTCTATATGGGGACGGGGTTACTGTGGTTTGTTTTAAATCAATGAATGGTTGTTCAAAGAATGATGGTCTTTATTTAAATGGTGATATTTATTCAGAGATGGTCTTTAACACAGATTTGACTGTATGTTCTTCCAATTTGCTTGGATTAATGTTTCATAAGTGGTTTGGGAAATATCCAATTGTGTTGTGTGGGAAAGCTTTCAAATGGGTTTTATACAACAGCTGTTAGGAAGTTAACAGTTGTATTTACCTGACAGTGAGGGCAACAGTCTTTAATATTTTCAGAGTGTGTAATAGTCTGACCTTAGACTTACAGGGGAGATTTGGCCAACTTCGATATTGTCAGTAATATCAAAGTTAACATGTGTAAATCCTTTAACAGCTGTGTCATACTTTTTAAGTGGGTTGCTTTTATCATTATTGGGTGGCATAGGCAAGTCGTTATTGGGTGGCATAGGCAAATCATTATTGTGTGGTATAGGCAAATCATTATTGGGTGGTATAGGCAAATCATTATTGAGTGGCATAGGCAAATCATTATTGGGTGGTATAGGCAAATCATTATTGGGTGGCCTAGGCAAGTCATTATTGGGTGGTATAGGCAAATCATTATTGTGTGGTATAGGCAATCATTATTGGGTGGTATAGGCAAATTATTATTGGGTGGTATAGGCAAATTATTATTGGGTGGTATAGGCAAATCAATATTGGGTGGTATAGGCAAATCATTATTGGGTGGTATAGGCAAGTCATTATTGGGTGGTATAGGCAAATCATTGTTGGTTGGTATAGGCAAATCATTATTGGTTGGTATAGGCAAATCATTATTGAGTGGCATAGGCAAATCATTATTGGGTGGCATAGGCAAATCATTATTGTGTGGTATAGACAAATCATTATGGGTGGCCTAGGCAAGTCATTATTGTGTGGTATAGGCAAATCATTATTGTGTGGTATAGGCAAATCATTATTGGGTGGCCTAGGCAAGTCATTATTGGGTGGTATAGGCAAATCATTATTGGGTGGCATAGGCAAATCATTATTGTGTGGCATAGGCAAATCATTATTGTGTGGTATAGGCAAATCATTATTGGGTGGCATAGGCAAATCATTATTGTGTGGCATAGGCAAATCATTATTGTGTGGTATAGGCAAATCATTATTGGGTGGCCTAGGCAAGTCATTATTGGGTGGTATAGGCAAATCATTATTGTGTGGTATAGGCAAATAATTATTGGGTGGCCTAGGCAAGTCATTATTGGGTGGTATAGGCAAATCATTATTGTGTGGTATAGGCAAATCATTATTGGGTGGCCTAGGCAAGTCATTATTGGGTGGTATAGGATAATCATTGTGTGATATAGGCAAATCATTATTGGGTGGCCTAGGCAAGTCATTGTTGGGTGGCAAAGGCAAGTCATTATTGAGTGGTAAAGAAAAGTCATTATTGGGCAGCATAGATAAGTCATTATTAGGGGGTAAAGGCAAGTCTTTATTGGGTGGCCTAGGCAAGTCATTATTGGGTGGTATAGGCAAATCATTATTGTGTGGTATAGGCAAATCATTATTGGGTGGTATAGGCAAATTATTATTGGGTGGTATAGGCAAATTATTATTGGGTGGTATAGGCAAATCAATATTGAGTGGTATAGGCAAATCATTATTGGGTGGTATAGGCAAATCATTATTGGTTGGTATAGGCAAATCATTATTGGGTGGTATAGGCAAATTATTATTGTGTGGTATAGGCAAATCATTATTGGGTGGCCTAGGCAAGTCATTATTTGGTGGTATAGGCAAATCATTATTGTGTGGTATAGGCAAATCATTATTGGGTGGCATAGGCAAGTCATTATTGGGTGGTATAGGCAAATCATTATTGGGTGGTATAGGAAAATCATTATTGGGTGGCCTAGGCAAGTCATTATTGGGTGGTATAGGCAAATCATTGTGTGATATAGGCAAATCATTATTGGGTGGCCTAGGCAAGTCATTGTTGGATGGCAAAGGCAAGTCATTATTGAGTGGTAAAGAAAAGTCATTATTGGGCAGCATAGATAAGTCATTATTAGGGGGTAAAGGCAAGTCTTTATTGGGTGGCAATGGCAAATCATTTTTGTGTGGCAAAGGCAAGTCATAATTATGGGTTAAAGGCAAGTCATTATTGAGTGGTAAAGAAAAATCATTATTGGGCAGCATAGACAAGTCATTATTAGAAAGGGGTAAAGGCAAATCATTTTTGGTAGCAAGGACAAGTCTTTTTAAGGTGGTAAAGGCAAGTCATATTTGGGCAGCAAAGGCAGATCATATTTGGTTTGTAATGGCAAATCATATTTGGATATCAAATGCAAATTTTAATTGGGTGATGTAGGCAAGTCATTATTGGGTGGCATATGCAATCATTATGGGTTGCATTGACAAGTTATTGTGCAGCATAAAAAAGTTATGATCAGGTGGCACAGGTAAATCATTATTGGCACTAAGCTTTAACAGGGTATGGTAAATCATATAAAAGTAGACACAGCTACAAAATCTACAGGTTATAATGTTGATATAATGATCCTACAGGTATAGACAGGAAAATTGATATAATAATGATAATCATCAAGGTTAAAAGGTGGAGAATCTACTCCCAGCAATAATATAATAACATCTCGTAGCTATGTGTAATAATATCTTCGAGAATGTAGAAAATATGTCAGCACATTGTGGCAATAACATTATAATGAAAAAAAAAACAGGTTGAGAGGAAAAGCATTGCAACTTTACTTACAATATAGAAAAGGGGAGACAACTGTATTTCAACAAATTCCATAATTTACAACAGTGGTTTGAAAAAAGTCCACATTTTTGTTTTTTTCTTCAGAAGTTAAATCACTCATCATGGTGCTATAGTATATGTACTTGTAAGTAATGATGTACAGTAATTCTGGCAGTCGATCATAAACAAAACAGATTATAAAAAAAAATCTCAAGCTCTGAGCAAGTTAAAGAAGTAAGCTGCTGTAGTAAATCAAAGCACAGAAGGCGCTGAATTTGTTTGGGTCTCAGAATGTAAGAAAGGTGCAGGTTGTGAGATTATATGTTTAGTGCCACCAATGCTTTCCAGCGTTTTAATTGTAGTAAATTGGCTATAAGACTAATTGCAACACTGATATTCAATCCAATGTTTATTTGACTTTAACAATTTAAAAAAATGAGTTACCTTTACTGGGATTTGAACTCCAGACCTCTCGCTTCCTAAGCGAGCCCGAAAACCCTTCAGCCACGGTTAAATTTATATGTGAACGACCTGAAGAAAACCATATTATTCTAAATTAGGGCTTGTAACGACTTTTAACTGTTGTTTAACACAGATGTAAATAATCCTGAAGCTTACTATAAGCATGTATATTTATAAAGAGTCAAAGGGCTTCAAGTTCTTTGGTATTTTCTGATCTTTGCAATCTAAATCGTACTGTATATCTGTATGCATTTTCCTGTATAAGTTTATTTTTATGTATTATAATTCATTTTGTAAGGCACATACGGAATTCTGCATAACTAGAGTTGCATCAAAAATCATTTATGAACTTTTTTTAATGACAGCCACACTTTATCCTTGTAAATCATGGCTACTTCCTTAGCAAAAACAATTAAAAAAAGAATTTAACAAAAAAAAAATTTCCTCGACTGGGATTCGAACTCGAGACCTCTCACTCACTAAGCGAGCGCCTTACCACTGTACCACGGAGAAGTTTTACACAGAATGTCTGAATAATATCAAGTGATTCTAAATTTAGAACTTCCATTGCATTCAGGTTTGTAATCCCTATAATTTCGAGGTATTTTGTTCAGGGTAAACCTGTTGTTTAAAATTGAAGTAAATATTTTAGCGAAAATCCTCTCGCCCAAACAGTCCGACATGTAGAATCTATATATTCCACTACTCGGTTTGTGTAGTATTCGGTAATCTACATGGCTAAAAATAGTATTTTCATTGATAAAATCATATTCATCCGCGTAATTTGTGATTGTGCATTTATTGACAATTCTATAAGCCAACGCTATTGTTTAACTTTAAATGCGTTGTAATTTGTTGGATACTTGTAACAAAATAAAATATTTCTTTCTTTTAAATCGCTAGTTTTAAGCTGTTTTGAGAACTACTTGTTGTTAGGTTTGTCATTAACTTCTGTGTCAGAGATTGAATGTCCGCTTTGTATTTAGTTATTTTCGATCAGAAAATACCAGAAAACAATATTAGAAATCTTCGACCATTCGGGAATTACTTTGCTTGAAAATTGATGCGCCTGTCTTTGACCATCTTTACGCAGTGATCTCCCCTGAATTTTTCGGCTTTAGTGTACATACAAAAGGGAAGTAACCGCTTCAAAAAAGTGGACTACTTTCGGCATTTGCAATTAAGAACATTAGACTCTGAAATTTCGCTACCATTATTTGTTTGGTCTGACGACCCAAACAAATAAAAAGTGCAAGAAGATGTTGCATAATTATAAAAAAAAAGAAGTTAGGAACAGGGTTTAGTTATATAATTATTAGCTCCTATTTTCCTATTTTTTATACAGTCTAAAATTTGAATCACTGGCAAAGAATTAGATTAAAGAAGCTATGCTGAGGTCAAAAAGGCTAAAATTTAACATAAAGTTTTAAATTCTTACATGGATCATAATTATGATACACATAAAATGGAAAGACACTAAAAAAATATACTCTAAGTTAAATTGGAAATTGATTTTTTGCATAATATTTAGCACAGTTTGGGCAAAAAAGCATTGCAACGCCTTAAATTTTATGGTCATTTTGCACAATGTTAATGAAGGTATTTATTCTGGCTGGGAAAATGAAGTTTTAGGGAATGTTTTTAAATTTTGCGCCCAGACCTATATCAAATGGTACACAACCAAAAAAAAACAAAACAACAAAATACCAGTCCCTTCATGTCAGAAAACCTCAGACTGTACCAGTCCTGAAAAGTAAGAGTATAATGTGTTAAAAGATAACTTTTTTTACAATTAATTATTCAATATTTATTTGTATATTAACCAAACATAATATAATATTATACTTTAAATTTGCCATTTTATCAAAGTTTACAAAAAAAAGTATGTATGACTTAAATAAAGGGAGATTATTCTGTTAAGACTAAACAGATACCATGCTGGTTTTTACAAGAGTTGTGTTTCTTTACACCTCCTGTTTACAGACCAATGAAATAAATCATAGTTAATGAGATTTGAGACTGAAATAATGTAAAAATAAATAATTTATTTAGTTTCAGAACAAATAAAAAATCTGTTTAATAAGTCATTGGACATTCATGTTCCTTTACTTGTCTACATATCTTTTAAATAGTTCAAACAAATTATATAAATCTATAAAACTTGACCTGAAATGTTTCCTATAAGTTTATAATGTTATTTATTTTTAACTGAATTATTCCAAATAAAAAAAATAATGGAAGCATAAAATTTTGTAAAAAAGAAACTTTAGTATCATTGAATTAAATTTTCCTAAGAAGACTTTGTCTCTTCCCAATTTTTTTAATAAGGGAATTTAAACAATTTCAATAGAAAGGTTGGTAAATCACCTAGGTCCAGTTAATAGTACTGGTGCTTTAAAGGAATTTAAGTTTACAAAAAATGTTCACCTTCTTTGGAGATATGTAAGTTATGTATCATACATCATACACAGATCCAAGTGGGGGTGGGGCTGATGTAGGGAATTATGCCCCCCCCCCCCCCCCCCCTCAGATTTGGCTAGTCTGTGAAACCCTTCTGAGAGTTTGATATGATATCAATTAGTGAAAATCAGAAAATTTTGACTTGTGATCCCTTTTAGAAAATATCAACACCACTTTGGAATATGCATTAATTACCCCTGGTTGAAAATTGAAACTTTAGTACCCACTGTGGTATAAAATCCAGAATCTGTGCCTGTACATTGCAGTATCTTTCTCTTTTTTTCTACTGGCATACATTTATCTGAAAATATAGAATGAATCATTTACTTCCCTTTCATAGAGGATTCTGGGCATTTTTTTGCAGGGTAATCATCTATTTATCGATAAATAAGAGAACATAATTTGGAATATTACAATTTCAAAATTTTACTGATTAGGTGCATTTATATAAGAATGTATGGTAAAAGCATAGGTGCATTTTGCATTTATAAGGGAATGTATGGTAAAAGCTTAGATGCATTTATATGAGAATGTATGATAAAAGCATAGGTGCATTTATATAAGAATGTATGGTAAAAGCATAGGTGCATTTTGCATTTATAAGGGAATGTATGGTAAAAGCTTAGATGCATTTATATGAGAATGTATGATAAAAGTATAGATGCATTAATATGGGCATGTATGGTAAAAGCATAGGTGCATTTATAAGGGAATGTATGGTAAAAGCATAGGTGCATTTATACCAGAATGTATGGTAAAAGCATAGGTGAATTTATATGGGAATGTATGGTAAAAGCATTTTTGCTACTTATAAATTGTGGCAAGTGCACTTATATGAAAGTGTACGGCATGTAACAGTGTCCAAATTTTTTCTTACTCATTCTGGTACAGATTCCAAAGTTATTAAGACCGATGTATGATGTGCCAGCGACAGTGTACATGTATTGTTTGTAGATATGTTTACTAACTGGTCACATGTGGCAGCAATTAGTGATCATTATATAGGTAACGTGGTGATGATGTATATGATTGTATGCTGTGAAAAACATTCTATATCTATAATTCCCTCACTAAATCGTCAGATTATTGAGTATAATTAAGAAAATTTATATAGTGTTTAAGGCCCATTATGTCCCAGAAATAGTTTTTGTTATGTCTCAAAAGATTTACATTTTGGTGTCCTTATAATTTCCAAAAAGTTATTCATTGATGCATCACCGGAATTGTTGTTTTGGCAATTAGTATGATTATAATGATTTAGTATTTTGAAAGTCAAAATACTACTTTGTTTACATTTTGCTTCTTTTATGACAAAAATATTTCACATTCAGGGCTACATTCTAAGGTGATTAGCCTTTTACATTCTCTAAAA